TTGAACTGCTACAAGAATTACTTTCTTGATTTATAGTTCCCATTTGTTGAGTTTCCATTCATGTAAGCTTCAATTTATTGTAGCTCACATGTTCTTTAAATATCATTATGTGAGCCACGTCACGACAAAACCAACGTAATGCGTTTGCGACCAGCATGGATCCAGACCAGCCGGCGCATCCGCGCAGTCTGATCAGGATCCATGCTGTTCGCTTACAAACCCTATTACAAGTAGGGAAACTGATAGCGAACATTATGGATCCTAAACAGACTGCGCGGATGCGCAGGCTGGTCTGGATTCATGCTGGTCGCAAACGCACTATGTTGGTTTTGTCGTGACGCGGCTCATGTAGTACTGCTTTTCCAGAATGTCAAGAAAACAACATAATTATGTGTATATAAGCCCTGTGAATTGTCTGAAAACGAACGGCGTAAACTGACTTTTTTTCTAAAGAAGCAATGAAACGAGTTCGAATTATTGAGCTCTTATTGCATTCATTTAACTAAAAGGTATATGCACTGTAAAATATTTAAAACATTTGGTATGTGGATTATTAAAGCAGAATGATACCTGATTCAATTTTCATGAGAAATTAAAAAATATATTCAAAAGTATAATATTCTAAATTGAACTAAAAAAGTACTAGTAATTTACACATTTCAAGCGGCACTTAAAATCTACGACAATGACCAAAAAAAAGGCCATAATATGCAAACATAGCCCTCAGTACGTTTGTAACGGTGTTGAAATATGGTGATAAAAATTGCAAAATCAGTCAGTAATTGCAGAAAATATGTGAGTTATTTCTTATATTGTGAATATTTTAACATTTCTGAAAATCATTCTAAAAACGATTTATTTTCTTGAAATATTTTGGCTTATCTTGAAGCATGCTGCTTTTTCAGTAAGTGGAAAATTTAATATTTCGTTATAAATGAAGTTTGGCAGAATTGAATCTAGACATCATAATTTTGACAACTTATATCAACTGAATGATACGATATGATCTATCACCTTGCTAAGTGCGCATTTTAAGCATTCAACACTTTTGTGAGCTTGAAAAAAATCGACACCTCGTAAAATGACTGATAGGCGTTTCAACGAGCACCGTTCTTATCACCATCAAATGAAACGATGCTTAACATAGTCTTACGTGTATTAAATTAAATATTCAAGATGACTGCGGAAAAATGCATAGCAATGTATGAATCCGTTTCTCTGTATATTTTTTTCTCCTGCATGCAACTGATTGTTTTTAAAAGTAGCATTAAATTAACTTTCAATAACCATCTTCAATTAATACGTTAAATTAATAATCACAAACTATGAAAGTTAATGTTAAAAAGAGAGGGTATGCAGTCCACAAAAATGTCTAGTCACAAAGTACAATCGGAAAATAAACAGTATAGTGCGCTGAGAGACACTAACACAAAAAGGACATTAAAGGGTAATAAAAGTTATAATGAAAAGAAATCAGCTGACAAGATTACTAATGAAACCCGAAAGGTTAAGACTGAAGGTAGATAAAAGGTGACTACGATGATTAAAGGAAAAAAAACCTAACAAGGCAACACGCATGGTGGACATACACTACAAAAATGTTTCGTTATATTTATGAACAGCAAGGTAGCGTTTCGGTACCAATATCTAAGATAATAATGCAGTACCGGTATTAGAAAAAAATTGTTGAATAATTCAGAACCAGAATTTGCAAAAAAGTGCAGTGCAGTGCCAGTATATTGACCATACCGCAATACCACAAGTCTCTAAAACAGATAAGAAAAACTTGAAACAATTAAGAAATTAAAAAAAGGCATTGAAAAAAAGTATCAGGTTTGGTTTGATTGAGCCTGTTCGAGAGCGATGGTAGTTAGTTCAGACCACCCTCCAAACCCACTTTGAACGACTATAGCACTATATATAACATAAACTCGCAAAATGAGTAATGTTTTGAATTAAGAAAGATCTGAAGCTCGTGTGTTCATTCGGCATTGATATTCAAGCAAACAGTAGCATTTCTAGCAATTGTGCAGATGACTACAAGGGTATTAAGTTTAATCAAATGTGCTTCACATTGGAGAAGAAGATGAAACTTAAGTCTTATCCCTAGATTTAGCTCCGGTGTCCAAAATGCTTTTAAAAACCGAAACTTTTTTAGCTATTTTTGCAAGAGTCCCCCAAAGGTCCTTTTTTTGTATTTTTCATCAAACAAAAGAGTGAAAAAGGAAATTTAATTAAATTAATTTTTAAATTTAAATCAAATGCAAACTTATGTCCAGATTAAAATTTTTTAAGAACTCCCGTACTCCCAAAAAATTTTAATAACCGGGGTTGCTGATATTTCATGGGGTTTTGCTTAGTATACATTGCAACATCAATGGGCGCCTTATGAAATAAAAAAAATGAAAAATTAAATTTAACTGGGAAAAGTTACTTTTTATAAGATACTATTTCATATCATTTTTGTTATCTATTTCATCTGAATAACTTCTATCAAAGTCACAAAGCAACAAAAATAGAACAGAGGAAATCGACTCGTCCACAACACTTTATCTGCATTCCTTATTCGAGTTTATTGGGGTTGTATTTCATGAATGGCGTTCTCCCCTGTCTATGGTTATATGGTTATGGTTTTAGCGCGTGTGTGTTTTCGTTATCAGAAGTAAAAGCTTTACGTTATATATGACTGCATAGGTTTAAGGTATGATGATAAGAATTTGAAAATTGTGCTATAAACGATAATAAATTCGATAACATTATTTTTGTCCTAGAAAGAATAAGATTGTAACATAATTTAAGAACTGAAAGTCCGGAGAGAAAAGGAAAGACTGTTAAGACTGAAATTGAAAATAATTACCTTGACGGAAGTTGTTAATGTTTTACCGTAGGTTCTGTACTGCTAGGTGATGTCCAAGCTTCATTGTGTGAACCTCGCATATCCATATTGATCTTCAAGCGCATACGTCTTTGATTTTGACAATGGCAAATTGTGGGATTTTCGTTAGCTGTTTTCATTTCTTCAATCATTGATTGGTTTTCTGAATGAAAATGATATAATATAAAAAGTCATAGAAAATGTGTGCTTTAGAGCTCATAATTAGACACTTTCAGTGACTGCCACTAAATTTGTTTTGAAATGTTAGTTTTTATAGTGCACGAGAACATGCTGTGTGTGCGTTGCGTGTATGTGTGTGTGTATATGCGTCTTTTGTGTAGACTATAGTGAATAAATCGTCTTAAAAACAACAAGTCCCTTGCCAGGGTTCTTCCTTGAATGAAGGGCCTGCAGGTGTTCAAAATAATTTAATGCAAAAATCTGGTTGCCATGGCAACCAAAAGTAATTATGGGAAGAACTTTAAATTCTTTTCACTATAACCAAGAGGCTTAGAGCACAGGTATTTTGCACAAGGCATTGTTTCGTTGAACCATACAAAGATTGTTAAATTTCAGCCCTGGGGTCACAAGTAGCCTTGGCCGTAGGTCATGTGTTCTCCTGATATGTATATAGTAACATTTAAATCAAACTTACAAGGGATAAATCTTAGATACAAGTATTTAGCAGGACCTCTACCAATCCTGGGGGATCATTGGTTTTCCCTAGCAACATATAATAAAGATTTAAAACGTTTTAATGTCTTAAACTACAAGGCAAAAGATTAGACATTTAACAAGAACATTGTTCTGTAAACCTCTTTTAAGACTGTCAAATTAAACCATTAGAATTGAAATTGGCCCCACCTTTCCAAAACTGAAAGGGTAAAAGCTCAGATATTTTTTACGAAACATTGTCAAGTAGACCTCTACTAAGATTGTTCAAATTACAGCACTGAGGTCAAAATAAACATGGCCAAGGGGGGATAGATATTCCCTGTATACGTTTTTAAGTTAGAGGAAAAACGAAACTGCACAAATAATTACAAAGGCTATACCTTAGATATTTGGCATAACACATTGTGTAGTGTAGACCTCTACCAAAATCATCAAATTAAAGCCATTGTGTCAAAATTGTCCCACGTCGGGACATCAAGAATTTTCCCTATATAGATTTATAAAAAAAACTGCTCTTCCAAAACTACATGGGCTAGAGTTAAGATATTGGGCATGAAACAATATCAATTAGACTTGTACCAAAAGTGTTAAAAATATGGCACTTGGGGAAAAAATGGTAACACCCGGTTGGGGCAAGGGTGATCCTTATATGAATATAGTAAGAACATGCAGAAATATGACATTGACCCTCAAATTCTACACTTCTGCATTAATATCGCAAGGTTCATTGTAAGGAAACAAGAATAATGAACTTCATGTATTTCTGTTTCTGCTATTTTATTGTTGTATAATGCGGTGAAACAAATGCAATCTTCCTTCTAATTTCTATGCCCTCTTTTTCGGTGTGGGATTTAGATTTGCCCTTGTCCTTCCTTCCGTCCGTCCGTAAGTGCATTATCTTGTTGTGTCACATAAAGCTTAAAAGTGCTTGGGCTAGAGTCAACAAAATGTATAGGAATGTTGATCAGCATGTGAAGTTGTGCCTCATGGGGTTTGCTTGTGGAATAATTCAGCATTTTAGAGTAATTTTTCATGACTAAGTAAGCAATTTTGAACTTGTGCCGCGCGTAGCTTAAGAAGTATTTGACATGGAGTCATGAAACTCTTCAGAAATATTGATTAGCATGTGAAGTGGTGCATCTGGGGTTTTGCTTGTGCATTTTTTTTTTGTATTTGTAGAGTAACTGCCCTTCACTTATTTAAGTTCGCAATGTTCAATTAGTGTCGTGCGTACCTCAAAAAAGTATATGACCTAGAGTCATAAATCCGTAAAGAAATGTAAGTTAGGGGTTTGTTTGTATATTTAATCAGAGTTTGTTGAGTAATTGTCATTGACTTAGTAAAATCCGCTCCAGATCGTTTTGCCATACGCCCCTCTTAAAGTGTTATGAGCTAGAGACAACAAACTTTATCGGAATCTTGTTCAATATGTGAAGCTGTGCACCTGGATATTTTATTGTGGTTGTTTTCAGTTTTTTAAGTGTTATTGTCCTTGACATAAATTTGCAATTTTCAACTTGTTCATGCGTAACTCAAACAAGTTGTATTTGAAAAGTTTCTTTGCCTATTTATATCGTAAACTGCGCATAAATATTTTAAAACTTCCGCGTTAATCTTTTGATTCGTCTAGTCCGATTTGTGTTCGAAATTGAAGACAGAAGTTTTGATAAAGAATATATTTTGAATTTCAGTTATAGATTAATACAAGGCTTTTAGATACTGTAAGAATGGAACTCGTAAGTATAAATTTCTTTTCTCACGTTGAAATATATTTTTGCATAAGAAAATTGCATGGAGTCAATTGGTAATGTTACAAATAATATGTTTTAATATGTCAGTGTACTATTATATAGCGATATTAATTAGTAGTATGGGATTTTAAGGTAATTCAGTTTACCTTATATCTTAATAAGTGTGTTATTGCTCTCAGCAAATGAATTTGATATATTAAAAGCTCATTGTTGTCTGTGATCTCATTTTTCGCCCACGTACATTTGATAAATGATCATTTCAATTGTATTAAAATGTAAAAAGAAAAGGTTTTTGAAAAGTATGCAAATGTCACATAAATCTTATACCTTTACAATAACATTAATAAATCAATTGGCTGGAATTTAAGTGATTGCATACTTGGTTGGTTTAAGCTAGCAAAATGGTTGCAAACTTGACAAAATGGCGACTGAAACATGAGAATTTATCGCGCCCACCCATAATTTGCCTGAGTCATTGGGTTTGTATGTAATTTTGAAATTCCTGTGTATGCCCATTAATTAAAGCAATGGTTCTGGATTTCAGCTTCCTAGCTTCTGATTTGCGGAGGTTTTTAATGATATTAACTGATAACTTACATATTTTGATATTTAACAAGCGATTATTCTAGTCGTTTTTTTCTCTTTTATTCAAATCTTTAAGTTTTGAAATGCTTCCAACAAGCCTAAAATATTTTCGTCAATAATGTATAACTCCTTTAACATGCAAGTGTCAAATAACGTTGCAATACACAAACTTGTACTTAAAAGTATAATATTTGCAATTTTTTTTAATTTTTATTTTTTGGTTAAAATAAAAAAAAAACACAAAAAACAACAAAGATCATATTGACTAATTACAAATATATTTTCATGACAATTTGTTACACTTTTGTTAATTTGCTTGCTTTTATAAATGTTATTTTCATCATTTATTGGTACGACGACTCCGTGTCCCGTCTGTTTGCCCTTGTACCTTTTATTCGTTGCTCTGCTGGGTGTCTTCTAACCTTGTACAACGTAATATGAATTGTGGTGATAAATTAGAAAAATATATAAAAACTTCAAAAGATGTAGACTATGTTTTATTTCATATGATGATAACAAAAATGATGGAAATAAAAGTTGCACCATAGTGCAAATGAACAAGGTGTTTTTCATTTTGTGAATTAAAACTGTATTTGCTTAACATGCAAAGGAATACATTTATACAGTATTTACAGAAACTTATTTTGTCTTGTTTGTTGAACGGGATGAATGAGTAGCAAAAAATGACCAGAATTATCACTTATCAATCTTACATGGCCAGTTTATATCTGTAACAAGTTCATCAAATCAGAAGCTAAGACGCTGAAACATAAACTTAGTGTTTCATAACCATTGCCTTAATAAATGTCCATTCAATATAAACTACAATATGAATAAAGGTTAAGTAGACAAGGAAGGGCGGCGTTCAATGAACGCAACACATGCACTACCAAGCAACACAGGACCGCCGGCAAGGATTCCAGCAATACACCAAATAAAGAAGGGGACTGGACATCGCCAATGACAAAGCACGGAAGGGGTGATTCCTATCATAATACATAATAGGAAATAATACAATACGAAGACGATTTTGAAATAGGCCTACATTGGTAAAGGAGTTTAGAGGAAGGGACTTGCGGGTCTGAGAAAGGGTTGGGGTCACAAATAACAAAATAAAACAAGACTAGGGGCAAAGGGAAGTACAAACCTAACTACCTGGACAAAAACATGCGGGCGTTACAAACGTTAATGCCTCGGACGACATTTTGTCATTTTTTTAACCATTTTGCTCATTTGAAACAAGTATAACACCACTTAATGTCCTGTCCTTTGTATATCTGCAATCCTGTGTTCTCGTATTTATTTTGTCTACTATACAGAACAAGGAAAATACTCGTTCTTCATTTATAATACCACTTCACCCTTGAAAAGTAATTAAAAGTGACTTCGATCATCCGATCCATAAATGTGTCGTATTTCACATTGCTTTATAAAGTCCTGCTCCTTTCAATATTCTTATTTGTACACACATTTCTAATATTTTCAGAGTATTATTCAAAAACCAGAGCTGGTTGTTGCCATAGATTTTGGCAGTACATATAGCGGATATGCTTGGCAATGGAGGACAGATTTTGTAAGGGATAGAGGAAACATCCAGTTCAATACTAACTGGGGAAGCGGGGCATTACAGGTATTTTTCTTTTTTCTTATAGCTTAATGTCACTAGTATATTACAACTTGTCTCAAACTGTCAATTCACTCATTGACTTACTAAAGTACATTTGATTTCAAATATCCAGGTTATTTTCAAATCCAGTGCATAAATCGTTTTGTCTTCTATAGACAGAGTATCATACTGTAAATTATTTGTATTACAGTGACATTATGTCCATTTTCTCTCGTGTCGTGAAAGTTAGTAAAGTAGTTGTTGAACCACAAATTTCACATATACGAATTCCTCTCATGTGTTAAAAATGTGTACGAATTCCTAATACACTCGTATGTGTTGCAAATACGGTGGGATCTGGGACGCCCGGCATCCGGGATCGTATTAGATATAAAGTAAAGTTGTGTTGATATATGTCTTAATAAAGGCAATAAAACGTTAAGATGGTTTTGACAGGTATATTGACTTTAACTTAAGATTGAAATATATTAAGAGTTATATATAAACAAACTTGAAATGCAGAATTCACAATACTTCAAGGTGTTATAAAATTGTAATATTTCACATTGATTTGTTTGAAATACTAAAAATAGATTTTATTCAAAAACCTATTTTGTTATAATGTACAAATACCGCGTCTTTTATGTTAATGTTTTAGAATTTTAGTACAGATATAAGTAGGTACTTAAAACAAAAATATTGTAAATAAAAAAAATATCGAAACTATCGAAGTTAATGATTATAACAATTTCCATTTCACTCGTATACATTTGTAACGTAACACATTACCCTCTGGCTAGATCACTAGTGGTATGGTGGCGTTCGTTGCCAATATTCGAGTCTCATACCTTTAAAAATGCGGCAATGTATACCTAGCAGTTATGACTGTAACTGTGCACTGCAAATAATATGTCTCTTAATCTAATCTTTAAATTGAAGGTTCCCGGTTTTCATATAGATCTAATCATCTGAACTAACATAAGAAAAACCTAATTTACAAGTTCGTAGCTTCCGTTGCATATAATACATAAGCATGTTTGCACACTTATAGATGGTTAGCTATATCTTTTTCCTTTCATTTGATCATTATGATTGTATTATAAGATTAGAACTTCATTACTACTTGTACATAAACAAAACTGTATTTGACTTAACAAAATCAAAATTAAACTAAAACAATTTATATGGAAATGTTATGTTACGTGGTACTTTTCAAATTTAAATTGACTAAATGAAATAGCCATGATTTTTATCATATGCAAAGTAGCAAAAAGTAGTTTGGGACTAAAACATTTTTAACTTTATATAATTTACTCTCATAAACATTAGTCAAAAGGAATTATATTGAATTGAGTTCGTGAGCCTTGATTGTATAAGTTTCATGATTAAATAATTAAAATCTAATGTAATCAATAGTAAAATTTGTTAAACCATTTATCCAGTCTTCATACCATCAAGTTTTACAGGGATTTTCAAGAAAAAAAAACCGTACATTTTACAAATATTAAGACAAATGCAAAACCTAACTATCGTCTGCCAATGTTTAACTGCAGTATAAGTAGCTACTTAGCGCACTTGTTGCAGCCTATACACATTGCACAATAAACAATTCACTCTACGATCTCCTATTTTCAAAAGTCGTTAGACAGGCCTAAATTACCGATTGTGATGTAAGTTTTAGGGTCGTTAAACAAATCACAGAACAGAACAGAACTTTTATTTCTTTGATTTGTACATAGTACATCATCATATACATCATATAATTTCAGAGTAACAAATACATTTCAGTGCGAGCAAACAATGCAATAATATAAAAGACAAAAATAATGCTAATATTCAAACATTATGTTGTTAAGCCTCAGTTAAACGAGGATGAACATATTAACAAATATTGCGTATTATCATTGAACATAATTTATTATTGAATTTCTAATAGTCATAGCTTTTTGATAATAAACTGCTAATTTGCATAGCTCATTCCTATTTTTACTTTGTAACAGTGCTATAAATTTAAACATACTTGGATTTACAAAATAGTATCTTTTAATATTATTGCTAGGAATACTTGAATAACATGGACATATGAGAATAAAATGAAATTCATCTCCCAGGACTCTTAGAGAACAACATTGACAATAACGTTCATTTCTTTGTATTCTATTTCTAGCATATCTTCCAGTTTGTATTCTTAGGCTATGTGCAGAAGTTCTTAATCTAGTAATAAATGGTCACAAGTGAGTAGGCATCAAATCAAGATATTCTGCGTAATAAAAAGTTAGCTAACACATTATATAAACCTAGTACAGAACTTGATTCTTTCGATAAATACCGGAATAAAGTTTTTAAAATCAATAATATACAATATATGGGTTATTCCAAACATCTGTAAAACCATAGTCACACAAAAGCTTTTTAACATATGTTACCCAGTTACATAATCCTTTATTACAATTATTTAATGCTAACTGGTAAACTGAGCGTAAAATAATATTGTCTGTATAGAGCAACTCAAACCAATATTTAACAATGCGTACATAACGGGATATGAACAAAGGATACCTTCCTAACTCTCCATATACACCAACAGTACAGGTAGTATTTCTTACTAACAAAATCATTTTACAAAATTTCAAATGTATTCTTTAAATCTGTTTTGATTTTGTGAAGCCCCATATTTCTGAAGAATAATTCATAATTGAGCCAACAAAAGAATCAAATAACTGACATAATAACTTAAGTTTAAAATCATACTTTGTACAATTTAAAAGCAAAACATTCAACGCCTTTAACGCTTTACCTGTAAAGTGTTCCTGATTTAGTGTAAAATTACCAGTATAATTGAAAACTGTTCCAAGCTAATTAAAATCATTCACTATTTCAATATCATTACCATTATATGACCAATAATCGTTTTCTAATACCCGCCCTCTTTTTCTTAAATACAACAATTTTAGTTTTATCTGTATTCACTTTTAATCCCCAATTTTGACAATATTCAGATAATGCATTTGCAATTCCTGAGGGGTTTTACCTAATATCACCATATCATCAGCAAATAAAAGTAAAAGTAAAACAATTTTTTTATATATCAAGTCCGGAGCTGATATTTTCATGTAAAAACAATTCTAAATCATCTACAAATAGAGAAATAAGTACTGGAAACGTTATCTCCCTTTGTCGTAAGCCTATAGCATACTCAAAATACGAGGAATAATCGTTACATGACCTAACACAAGAGTTAACTTTAGTATACATGTCCCGTATAATTCTTAATAATTTACCTTGTACTCCTAAGTTATACAATTTCATCCACAATGCATTTCTATATATAGTATCAAAACATTTTTTTAAATCAACAAATACACAAAATGATCTTTTATTTTCATTTAGAGAATGTTGAACTATATTAAACAATATAAATAAAGCATCAACACTTGATTTAACCTTTCTAAAACCAAACTGTGCACCAGATATAACATTATTCACAAATGGACGTGATACGTTTATTTAAGATTATAGTGAATGACTTAGAAAAGCGACTAACTAGTGTAATACCCCTATAATTGTTAACATCATTCTTATCACCTTTCTTATGTACTGGTACAAAACACCTTCCATCCATTTATCCGGAAAATATCCAGAATCTAAAATTGCATTAAAAACATCACAAATATGCGACCCTAAAATATCAACACTTTCAATCAAATATTCATTCAAAATAAAATCACTACCAAATGCTTTCCCCTTTTAACTTCTTTAACAGCGCTATAAATTTTTGAACAGTTTTTGTTTCATCTAATTCTTCAAATCTACAATCCATATTATTTAAATCATGAATAGTATTTTCTGTATCAGGATTTTTATCTCGAATCACAGGGAGTCACAGTCAGATGAACATCAATTAAATGAGATATGCTTTAATTTTGGGAGTGGATATAAGTAAGGGTTGGTAGACATTAACGTCGCACAAACCCAAAAAAAAAATTGGAAAAGTCGTTAAGACAGACAGTCCTTCTCGATTTAGGTTCCATAAATAAAAACTTAAATTTAAAAGTATTTTTTCTGTCCTGTATTTTTGTGTCAAAAATTGTTAAAATAAAACATTTACACATGATACCAAATACTTAATTAAACGGTTACAAAAAAGACTTAAAAATAAGTGGATTTTGACAGCATCGGACTGTGAATCACTGGTTATTGAAGAGGTAACTCATTCCATATTTTTCAACCAAAAGAAGCAAATGATTTTTTTACCTAAACCATTGCCCTGTGGGACTGCGAAATTGGTGGCAATGAAAAAATATACCTTATAATCGGGGGCCATGCCTACATTTAAAAAAATTGAGTCAGAATGATTTGATCAACTCGTTTAGACACTGGTAGCCAACTGAAAGATATAAGTTGTTCATGGTCAATAAGATATGTAAGTGCCAAATTCAGGGCAAACCTTATCAATATTCTTCAGATTGTAGGTTTTTCATCCATCCAAATCATATCTCGACTATAAAACCAAAAGAAACAAGCATAGCCAAAATGTCACTAAATAAGCGACACACCTTTTTACAGTTTTTTTCAATATGATAAGCTTTTTAATAACCGATCACAAGATAAACCTTAATACAGTTTGACAGCAAGGCAACAAATTACTGAGGTTGGCTGAATGACCTGACCGTTACAAAATACATTTAAGTTTGGATTTAACCTAACTTTGAGCTTTGAGCAGAAAAGGATTTACACAGCTATACCTAAATGTAATGCAACAAGCCATTTGCATATCATTTGCTTGGCTTCATTTCCTCATTGAAGGTTATTTCATCTGTAGATTTCATTTTAACAGCAACCATGATACCAGAGTCACCTGCAAAAAGTAAAAGTTAATTTTAAACAACAGCTGACATATCATTACATAGATTAAACACAATAGAAGTACTTAAATTGATGTTTGAGGAACACCACAAGAAATATTGGAAAATACCTTCAACATCGTTCATTTTTGATTGTGACTTACCAATAGTTTGTCATGGTAATTAATAGAGTAAAATTGAAAAAGAATGTTGAGAATATAAAACGTTTTTTCCATATTTCATCAGTCAAACACTACCGAAAAATATATTATATAAATATAAATATATATTGATTATTAATTTAAGATAGGCATATTGTCATTTTATACGGATTTTTTAAGACTTGCATCAGTACAAAATATTGAAGATTTATGATGATGCAAAATTATTTTTATCATCTCAAGCACAGCGTTTAGTTACACTATAGATTTTTTGAATGACCTGACTTAAAATTGTATGTGTTCAAGTATGTTTTTGGATGATTTCCTAGATAAATTCTAGGTTCGAGATAAATATAACCGTTTTGGAAAATTACCGTCCGATTTTCAACAGAAACCTACCTGGTTGTATTTTGTGGCAGTGCAGTGGACGAGAACTTGAAACACTGTTCATTTTTCATTTCAGCTTCATAAAACTACAACCTGTTTGCTTCTCAAAGCAAATGGAGATGATACAAGTAAATACGAAATTGATTCCTTTGGATATGAAGCTGAAAGAATATATATAAATATGGCCAAAGAGCACGAAAAAGATAAAAAGAAAACCTTAGGCAGAGGTGATGCAGACAATTTACATGAAACATGGTACCTGTTTAAAAGATTCAAACATATTTTGTATACAAAGGTAAGCATAACCAAGTTTTAGTAATATCTTATTTTAAATATATAAAATAAGCAGTCGTTATTATTGCAAGTTCTTTACTTACCTCAGTTTGCGACAGTGATACTTTTATTAAATAAATAGATAAAGATATAATAGTATAAATGCAATTCCGTTTAACTGAATGAAACGAAAACGGAGAGGGAAAATGAGAAAGAGTATATTGCACATAAAATAATGGAACTTCTTAGTACCATGTGTCTCAGTATTTGAGTGTAAATCAAATTGATAGATTTTACTTTTATTACACTTTGTAACAAATTTTGAAGCGTTTAGAAAATTGACAACCTTGCGAGATACAATGAACATTTGGTAATTCATTTAAGGTAGAACACTCCTAATTGTCACTATAAGGAACTGTAAAATTGACAACATAGCACAGTTATATGCCTTAAATGTCGCCTGTATGCAAAATTTAAGCAAAATTAACCGTGTGGTTTATAAGTTATGGGCATTTTTCTGAACTAAAACTTTGCCATTAGAAGGCCTTTTTTCAGAATTGAGGAAACTCTAAATAATCTATAATATCATTATGAAAAATGTTTTCATATTGCTCATTGTCAAGAAACAAATAATGACATTTAGGTAAGAAATTACACAAGCAAAATGAATATTTTTAAACGAAATGTTTTTAATATGTATAAAAATGTAACCCTATCCCACCTACTCTTCCCTTATTTGACCATTTCCCTATGTAAAACGCCTTACTTTAAATATCCCTAAATTTTCCACAATGAGGGGCTGCTTTCAAAGTTTTCCTTAATTTTCTTAAATGTATATTGGTTGGTCTTGCAAAATATAAAATACTTTTACCGTGTAGTTTTTATTTTATTAAACTTAAAAAATATCTGGTATCATATTTGCTATTAAATTTGGCATTATTTAGTAAATAAATACCTACAATAATGATATAATTAAAATGAAACACTTTTTTTCTTCCATAAGGGATCTTAGAGATTAATAAAAAATGTTAAACAGAAAAAAAAAGTTGCCCCTTCTGGGCTTTGAACCCACGCCCCTCAGTTTCAATACACAGTGATTCTAGCCTATTTGAATACTCTTCATAGTAGAGATAGTGTATTAGGGGTGTACTACCTTAAAGTACACATGTATGTTACTATGATGATTTCAATTGTACAAGTGTTGTTTATGCATAAAAATTAAAGCTGACATTTTAAATTCTATTAAATCCAATACGAAAAAATATGGACCAGTGTATAGCTAAAATATTTAGCCTGACATATTTGTTGTTTACCTTAAACTACTAACGTGTACTGGTTATATACGGAGTTAAGGACAAACATTCTATTTCTTGCAGTTTCACTCAAACACCACATCCGTTTATTCATCCCTGGGCCCCTCACCCCTCATTTGATTGGTTTCCATACGTGTCTATATTGTGTCCATTAGAACTTTTATGTGTCTTGTTATCTTGGGTATCTATATTGAAGTTGAAGTTGAAATATTAAGATTAGAAAATGATTTCAACAAAGACTGCATGTAAGGAAAATATTGGCGTGTTTTTTTTTTGTATTACCATATGTTTATCTCAAAGTTACATTATAAAATTAAAATTCTAATTTAATTTTAAACTGATCTGTACACTGTTTACTTTAAAATTTGCCTCAAGTAATTGATATTGTTTCAATTGTTATAAACATAAGTGACATTTTGACAAAACTAAAATCTTATTTTCAAGAATATTGATTACGAAATGATAGTAGAGGATCAACTTCATAGACCGTTCCCACTATTACACGTTTTGTCAAAACTTTTGAAAGCGTTGAAGGACCACTTCATAAACAATCTAAAAGAAAAGGGACAAAGAGTTAACCTAGACAAAACACTTTGGGTAGTTACTGTTCCCGCAATTTGGTCAGAGATGGCAAAGGCGTTTATGAGATATGCGATGGAAAAGGCATTAATGGAAGATACAGAGGAAATAGAAAAGGTATATATCTATTGGCTGCCACCTTAGTGCAGAAATTGTTAACTCATATTATGTATGTGTACTAAAGTAACGAAGTGTTAGAAAAGCTGCTTTAAAGATGCAGAGGCTTGCATCAGTTGTTATTATTAAACATGTTTTTACACATATCCCATCATATGAACCGTAAAAAAAATTGCAGAAAGCCTCTTACCAGTCAATTTTACTGTTAAATTAACAGTCAAAAATAGTAATAGTTAAAGTTGAGATTTTTATACGCGTAAGAATAGTAAATCACGTTGTAGCTTTTCTATCAAAAGATGCATTACATAAAAAACACAAACGTATACATCGCACATAGATACATTGTCATAGAAGATGAACATTGCCACACGTATAGAAAACAAATTTAAAATTGCTCCAAAATTTCCCGCATACACGATGTATGAATTGTACGTTACATATACGTTCATATAAGCCATACAAGATGAAAACGCTAAAAGGAAGAGGAAGAGTAAGAACACGTGTAGAATGGATATCGTATTAGTAACCTTATTTTAACGTTTTGCCGACAAATGAGTATTGAAGGGAAAGTATATACCTTGGATGACAAATGTATCTCAGGTTTAACATGTAACCCCTACGCTGGTATGAGCTACGCTGTGGTGTCTCTTGTTACTTGTAAACTTCTTTATAAAGTTATCTGTAGCTATAAAAAAGGGATGTTTTTTTGACGGAGTGTTAAATTCTTTAACTGGTATCAAAAATTGCAAAACATAATAAGTAGTTTTACAATGACTGTCTGTTTTGTTTTCACATCATTCTTTTTTCATTTGTTAATTATGCAAGGGTTTTAACTTCTTAAAACAGTAAATGGATAAACAACGGTATGGCGTTTGCCTCGCAAAGGAAGGCAATGCACCGTGCAAAGTGAAAACGAACACAATAGAGTTGAGAACCGTATGCTGATTTCTGAAATACCTAAGCACCGAAGTGTAAATCGGGTACGAGTCATGTTCATGTCTTAAACTAATGTTTCATATGACGAACTCGAACTATGTTAAAATATCACTCAAAGTTTACCGATAATACGTTCATTAAATAATACATGCATCATCGTCAACCATGTTCGAACAGTTATGGCATTGTCTTTCGGATCGGGAAATGAAAAGTTAAAACCCGAGTTGTACTTGTATTGAGCATTTTGTATGACGCAAATCACCGTCCTAGGTATATAAGATATAAAAAGAAATATCAACAAATTATTGGTTTGATGTGCCTTCTCACTCTTAGCCCCATGAAATTTCTGTAAAACGAGGGATTGTTAATAGAATGAATCCCCGTCAAACAAAATTCTAACCCATGTTGATGGTTACAAAAAGTTAAACAAGTAAAGTATGAAAGTAATGATTAACAAGTAAGCTGAATTTGCATTTAATGAATGCACCACCAACACAACCGAACAATACAAGACAACAACAAAAACAGGAGAGGTTACGAATGATCTTAACTATAAAACCACAGAACACAGAAATGATCATGTAGAAACATATCAAAGGTAAAACAAATGTCTTAAACGAACACAAAGCAGCAGGTATATCACTTACAGGGCAAGGGCAAGACGAAGCAAGACAATTAAGTTCTAAATGGTTTGTGATAGTTGAAAGGGTATATCGTTCATGGATTAAAAAATAAAATCAATCGATGTTATACAGCCCGGAAACAATTTGCTTGATCCCGACTGACCCTGAAACATAAATCATAATGTTTAAAGTCTTAAGCACGATTCAACATGAAAATTGTGATTTATTTTGAATTTAGAATCATCCGCACATAAGTTTTAACAAAGGTAATCATCGAATCTTCAATTATTCAAGTTAGTGCCATTCCACGAAAAAGAGTATGCAATCCCCCACCCCCCAAATAGTATGCGTGTTCGATATGTGTTGAAATTCTACGCGACATATTTTATTATGCCTTTGTTTATGTGAAGTTATTAAAGATTCTATGATAGTTTAGAAAAAAAATCAGTATTCTCATTGAGGCATAGCAGAAGTATATTTTACATATGAATTGTTTTAGAATTGGCATAATGACCTAAAATGAAAAAAAATTCTTAAATTAAAGGTGGTAAAATAAGGTCAAGAAGGAACATTTATAATAGCGGAGATAATTTATGATTAAAGAGAATTTTGAAAAATGAATGGAGATCACCATCCATTTTTTAGAGTAATCTTCACCTGAAAGTAATATTTTAACTCTTTTGTGCCATTTCAGAAGCAGATGTTTAAAAATGGGGATAAGTATCTCTAAAGGATCTCTACAAATAGTGTCCTTAAAGATTCTATTTAATCATGCAAAGTTTAAGAAAATTATCTCTGTTGTTTTACTTTTCATTCTTTATATTTGTAACAGAAGCGTCTTAAAATTTGAATAAGATAATTGCTTTACGCACATGAAGAGTGAACTGTGTATTCACCTCTTAAATTAGAAAAAACAATCGAGTAAAAATAAAAAAATTGTCGGTATTTCAATAACAAAAAACAATATTGTATGATTTTGTGATAGTTGTTACTTAAATAAAGATATTATCGGAATTAAATTAATTTCGGATAAAAAGACTGTGTTAAGTTAAATAAGAGAATAAAGATCAAGAAGGCAAAGACAACGTTTATAGGACGTATCCACCCACCCCCGACATACCCTTTATTACCAAGAGGTATATGTAGATACCGATATTGAAATTATCGCATGATTCGGACATTAAATGGATGCTTTGTCAAATTAAATTTTTTCTCCGATAATGGGTGGTTGTTACGTTAACCTTATAATTACCACTATCTTCAATTCAAGTTTTTCTTTATATAGGATAATCAATAAAGTGTATGGAAATATCGTATTGAAATGAAATGCTTTTAATAATTAATTGAAAACGCCTCGATATTAATTAACATTTGCCCGATGATCAAGCTTGCCGATGATCCCTGACCACATGGTTTAGGCAATGACTGCTAAAATTTCAAAGATACTCCATTTAAGTTATTTAGTTAATTTAATTTGTACACTGTAAGTAAAAGAGAGAAACTCCTTCAAATTGACGATAAATCTTTATATTTTGAACTTTATTTTCGCTTTGTATGTGTACCGTGTATGAAGCCGGTCATGTATTTTTTTCAGCGTATAATCTCAACTAAATCCAATAATATATATCAAGGCATAAGCTTTGTCATGCTTTGACATCAAAGTATAAAGAAACATTTTTATAAATACCATCGATTGCAATGGAAAGTTCAAGATGTAAATAAATACCACGCAGCAATGTTGACCTCTGATCGGCAGACCTCTGCACAATTTACTTTTTAAAAGAGTTGCTTATTAGCTCACATGAGCTAGCTCAGGGTGAGCTTTTAGGATCGTTCAATATCCGTCGTCCGTCGTCCGGCCACACTTGTTCGTTATGGAGGCTATTCGTTGCCAAAAATCCAACCTTTGAAACTTGACAATGCATACTTCGGTTCTACTAAACAAATTAGTAAAAATCTAATTGTTGATCCGAGATTTAGCGTTTTGATTATCTCGATTTGATAAAATGGTAGCTGTTTACACGCAACTTACATAAATTGCAAACTGGATTTAAAGAAGTATAACTTCAAATTTTCGACGCGTATAAATGTACACGATAGCACGTACACAACACGGTTTATGCCTTACATTATGACGTTCAGAATGTAAATGCATCAGTCAACACTCTCAGGTTGACATCATCACACTTTCATTTTACATAATAACGCGATTAACATTTGTAAACGATTTTGCAACTTCCATATATGGCATTATCACGGAAATAGACGAAGATTAAAAGGCGGAGCCAATTTTCACGAAAGCAGATTATAAAGAGAGGCAACTCTTACTGAACTGTACAGCTTGAATGAGTCATTAAATAAAACTCTTATATATGTCGCATACATCAACTGCATTACAGTTGACTTTGAATATCCTCTGATTTTGTTAAAACGCATTCTAGCACAGGATATTCAAGTAATGCAAATGTGATTAAGATATAAAAAATGTAACAATGTAACAACGTTGATAGAACGTCATAATACTGATAATGAGCATAATAATATGCAAAAACTAAAGTTGGTCAATAAACATAAGGGAATGTTTCCCATATATAAGGACACAAGCCACGCTTGCTGATGAGCTAACTTCTCAGCAGAAATTATTCGTACTCGTGTATTTTACCCCCAATGTGATATATTTTGAGTCATGGGATGTGATTTAGCCTTTTATTATAACACATTTGTAAGCTGGCGTAGGTTAAGATCTTCAGCGATCCCCCTTTTATGCATTTTACTAAATCAATTACAGCTCTTAAATCTTAAAAGCTGGAAACTAAACTTGTTTTCTTTCTGATCAAAAGCAGATAACTATTTTTATGTACAAGAAATACTACACAGAATATGTATTAAGTTTTGTTAGTGATGGCTTTCTTAGTGATAAAATAAACAAGGTATACATAAATTGATAATGAACATACTTACCTTTGGACTCATTTAATATCATTTTTGAAAAACAAATATGGTAAAAATGCTTAAATATATCTATACTTAAAAATAAAAAGAAATGTACGAAAGGAACGTTGGTTTTAATTTGAATATCGTTAAAAGCGTTTTCTTGTCAAGTCATAAGCTAGTATTAAGGTTACTAATGTAATAGTAAATGCTACAACAAGGAAAGACAACAGCCAGAATTTGATCTGGTATTTTAGTATTTAGTCGTAGCAAAATCTCAACCAGATGTTGACTTGAAAATTTGAAAGTTGTAAGGTAGCAGCTTAACTGTCAATCAATGTTATTCATTTCTATGCAAATTGGAATCCCCTTAGTAAAATTTATTTGTCTTTAAAAAGAGCAAACATGTTGAATATAGTCTTAACAATAATTTATAATCTTAACAATAAGTTCCTTGAAAAATATTTACCCCTTAGCAACCCCATTAAAAGTTAAATTGAGTCAGTTACCTAGTGAGTTTTAGTTTCTTTTTTCTAGGAATTGGGGTATGTACAACTTTTCAATACTTAATTGAATAAAGGAATATAATGGCAATCATGCAAATTAATTATGTTTGGTGAATAACTGTCATGATTTGCAAACAACTAAAATGTGTGGTTCACGGAATCTACGCCAGTGCGTGTTCTTGCTTTCTTGTGATATCAGACCGCACGGTAATTACCGAAAATGTGCGGATAAATGCGTTTATTTACGATGATATAGTCGGCGGGAAATTGGCCGAGCTTTTTTTATCTCCTTTTGCAAAACGTGTACAGCTGAATAATGGAGATTCGAATCATAATGGTTTGACAATGTAAAGCTAAGAATGTAACTTCTGTTTTGTCGGCTTGGTATTGCTTATCAGTCAGAAAACCAGTTAATTTTTTGTCGTTAAACAAAATGTTTTGTTGAAATACATATTTACAATGTTAAATCGGCAAACTCAATCCAAGAATACAACATTGGAAATTACATACAAATATATACAATTGTACTGTTCAACTCAGACCAACAAGGCTGGATTTTTAGCAACGTATAGTCCCCATAGTTCGTTAAAATTCTAGCGGTCACATTTTTGCCTCAATCATCATCAAACTTTGTCAGGATGCTTATCTAAGTAATAGCTCGGATGAGTTCGAACATGGGTCATCTCGGATGAAAACTAGGTCACAAGAGCTAAAATAGAAAAAAAGTGTTAACAATCTAGCGGTCACATTTTTGCCTCAATCATCATCAAACGTGGCCAGGATGCTTATCTAGGTGATAGCTCAGATGAGTTCGAACATGGGTTATCTCGGATGAAAACTAGGTCACAGGAGCTAAAAATAGAAAAATCTTGTTAACACTCAAGCGGTCACATTTTTGACTCAATTATCATCAAACTTGGTCAGGATGCTTTTCTAGGTAATTGCTCGGATGAGTTCGAACATGGGTCATCTCGGATAAAACAACTAGGACACAGGAGCTAAAAATAGAAAAATCTTGTTAGCACTCTAGTGGCTACTGTAATGATCAAAATATCCTGGAATTTGGTCTGAAAGTATGTTTTGATGATTTCTAGGTCAAGTTCGAATATGGGTCATCTGATTTCAAAATTAGGTCACACCGCCCAAATATGGAAAAAACTTGTAACCACCTTAGTGGTCACATTTTTGACTCAATTATCATCAAATTTGGTCAGGATGCTTGTTAGATGAGTTTGAACATGGGCCATTTTGGATGAAAAACTAGGTCACAGGAGCTAAAAATAGAAAATCTTGTTAACACTTTAGTGGCTACTGTTTTGATCCAAGTATCCTGAAAACTGGTCTGAAAGTATGTTTTGATGATTTCTAGGTCAAGTTCGAATATGGGTCACCTGGGGTTATAAACTAGGTCACACTCCTCAAATATGGATAATCCTTGTTAACAGTCTAGTGGTCACATTTTTGACTCACCTGTCATGAAACTTGGTCAGAATGTTTGTCTAGGTAATTGTTCGAATGAGTTCGATGGGTCAGGTTAGCGATTTAGGGCCATCTTTACCCTCTTGTATTTTTGAAATGTGTACACCAATTATAAATGATTATTATCGCAGTTCAATCATTAACAGCCCATCATGGGTGAGTTTTCATACTTAATTGCATTAATTGATTGTTAATCTTTATTAAAAAATAACACATGTATCTATTAAATTTGTGAAATAGTGTTTAATTACATTAAAATGAGACTTCAATGAACATCGGATTTATATTAATATCCGAGCATGAACGTAGAATTGTTTGGAATAACGGGCATCACTGGTCTAAAGTGCCGCGACCGACACTTGTGTAGGCCGTTGAATTTTTTGTGTCTTTATTTTCTTGGATATTGTTATGAATTTTGAAAAAAGCAACTTCCCTACACATCCTGTTTGTCTGGTCAATATTTAGTAATATCTTTATCTTTCGCTACGATTCGACAATTATTTATGTTATGTCTAAAGATGTGAAGTAATGACATCACGCACACCTGTTTTTGTACGACCAATACACAAACATGGCCGCGCCTACTGAATTGTGGAAGTCGGTGATTTGGCGCTTTAAATTTTGTTATCAAGCGTTTAATATCATTATTTAAACGCAGAAAATTTGTATATTTACTTTTTATAGTAATCTTTTGCTTATATAAAGTTTTTATTCTTACATTGCCTTTCCCTTTAACAGTCATTCATGAAATCACCCACTGCTTTGCGATGTGATCTATTACAATACCCTAAATAAATAAGATAAAATATGATTAGTTAGTGAAAGTTGTTACGAGCCAGGCGTAACTAGAAAGAAAAGCCAGCAACAAACTTGTAACAATATAACAAATTTATTACAGAAAAATATTAAAGAAAAATAAAATAACAAATTACGTTTACAAATACCTGAAGTCCAAATAAAAGTGAAAATCTTAAATGTCTAGTCTGATCCTGGAATGATCCTTTTTGAATAACACAGTTAAATCCAAGTTAAATCCAAGAACACTTTAGAATAAATTCCCACAATAAAATCCACAAGAATAATTAATAATCCAAGCTCCAATAAATCACTTAATTTCCAAGTTGAATAATACTCCAAATATATTGATGACTTAAAAGATTACTGATGACTAAAAAGGTAAAGGTAATGAAAAATGTCAATCTATATATATTAACTAAGAAGTTTCTAGAATAGTCTTCCATTTACTACAGTAATCATAATCTAGCAACTTCACCAATAAAGATCATTCCAGAAATTTTCTATCTAAATATAATGCATGAGTTTTCTACAATAGTTAAGAACGTTCTAGTACATACATGTAGTTTATGTTCTAAAAATAGAACAATGATAATATTGGAAATACCAACTGGTCATATATAAATTATATACATGTAATAAGTTGCATACATAACAAAGTATCCTACTTACGATGAGATGCCGACGTAATCAGGGGTCGTTTTGTAAACAATTGTTTCAGCTTTAACCGAGTCCTCTCTCAAACTGGACAGATGTGTTAGCATAAATGGCAAAGAATTGCACTATGTGCGTGTAATCATATAAAAGAATACACATCTGGGCTCCCGTTTAGCTAGGTATTTCCCAACTTAACTGTAACTCGGTATCAAACTTGACGATTTTAGCGAAAAATTACCTGGTTGCATTTTTTTACCGCCGCTTCTGCGACGATTGCTCCACACGGTCGCACCAATGGACCCACCGCTTCTATCAGAGAAAAAGAATGTTTTATGTAAACTCATTTAAATAAATAAACTTAAAGTAAACATTTCTAGCGTTTCTTTTTTTTTAAAAATCTGATATGCATACTTTATCCAATTAAAGTCTATATTCTGTGGAAATTATAGTAATAAAACAGAATTAAACTTACATCGAGTTGAGCAGTTATTTTTGCAAATTTACTTGTATCAGAAAGTCCATACATAACTTTGAAGGTAAAATAATTCTCAAATTTGACTCATTGGTGAAACATTTAATAGTGTTCAAAGCCAAAGGGATATCTAGACCCTAAATATTAATAGGATACACTGAAAGACTGATGACCATATAAATGTGTTCTTTTAAGTTTTCGAGAAGCATTGTTTTGGCGTAACAGATTGTTAAAGGTATAAGTGAACTTGCCTATCCATATTGTACTAGGAATGTCTAAATTATACAAATTATGGTTAAAATCAAATCAAACTCAAACAGCGTCTGCAATTTTCATATATTCCTATTTGTATAGTCCCTAGGTAAAGATATGCATGTGCCCTTAACAAGCAGAACTAAAAAGAAAATGGAATTTTTAAAGGATATTAGAGGTTATGAAGAGCGTTTATATTACAGGCAAGACGTCAAAATACAAATTTAAAAAAACAGGCAACATAATCTAATGGTGATTGTACATTATCCAATAAAGAATACTTGAACCACCCAAAAGGTCCGAATATAAGGATCTTAAAAAAGAAACATGCACACAAAAATAATATCTTACTGAACGATCTTTAAGATCGTTGAAGCCAAAACTTGAAGGCGTAGACGGTACATTGCACTTACTACTTCTGTCTTTAAACATACTTACTTAATCAAACCAATCTTATTTTACAACATTCCTTTTTTATTTATTTAAAAAAAGTAAATACATTTGAAATATGTTTTTCAGTTTTTTTACGAGAATATTTCTAAAAAAGGGTTCACTTTCTGTGTTTTCGAGTCATTAGTTAGATTGATTTATTTGAAAACATGCGGCTAACTATCAAGCTGAAAGCTTTAAAATTGTAGCTTTTTCAATTAGCTGAGGCGTTATTCAGGTATGTCTATTTGCAAAGATAATTTATAAATTTGTGTTTTAGAGCTTTACCAAAACGAGAAGAAGAAATTTACTTCTCGCGTTGGAGCCAGAAGCAGCAGCAATATATTGCATCCACCTTCCCGATGAGCAACGAGCCAATATGAATGAGCTCGGAGCACCGGGGCAAGTCTTTCTTACAGCAGATCTTGGCGGTCAGTTTCTTTAATATTTGTCAAATTAACTTGCTTCCCATTTCAAAGTTTTAGCATTTTTAGTACAATGCTCCTGATTAATATTTTTCAGCATGTATTTCCGTCGTCGACGATTTTAACGATAAAATTTTTCACTGTTTAAAACGTCAGCCATGCAATTTCTTACAAATCCTACTTTTCAAAGCTCTTATTCTTATAAATTACAATAAGCAATATATATGCTTTCTGCGATTGTTGTTGCTTATTCATGACATAGAATGGAATTTCTTTCATAATTAATCATTTATTTATCAACTTATTTATCCATTTATTCTCAGGATTGACTGTTGACCTTTCTTTAGTTAAAGTACTAGACGATGGTTTACTTGAGGAGATTTACTTATCTCGAGGAGACCTAGCTGGTGGTCAAAATGTCAATGACGCCTTCTTTCAAGCTTGCCTCGATAGTTTTGATGGAGAATTATGGAAGACAATATTTGGTAAATCAACGCCAATAGAGTGTCTAGAAATGGAAGATGACTTTGAACAAAAGAAAGTTACAATAGGAAAAAAGGACCGAAGGCTTGAAAAAATTGTTCTTAAAGTTCCTTACACGATTATTAAAGAAATAGATCAGAACAATATAACGTGTAAGGATGCACATGATTTTATCCTAGAGGAGAACGAGATAAAGGTCAGGTCAGAATTTGTCCGAAACAAACTTTTCAAAGAAACTTGCATCAAAATGTTTGATATAATGAAAACGGTTTTGCAATCTTTTGGTTTTAAAGATTGCAGAACAGTTGTACTTGTTGGTGGATTTGCTGAATCCCCAATTGTAGTACAACATATACGCGAAGCTATTATGGAAAATTTTCCAGATATAAAAGTTGTTGTGCCAACCTCGCCTTTCCAAGCTGTTCTAAAAGGGGCCGTTCTATATGGTCATGATCCGATGATATTTAGAAGCCGTATTGCAAGGTATACTTACGGTGTGGAGATACGCTGTCTCTTCAATGAGAAAAAGCATAATAAAGAGAAAAAGTGGCTTAACACTGAAGATAATAAATATTATTGCAAGGATGTGTTAGCGGTTCATGTGGAAAAAGGTCAGTCTGTGATACTGAAAGAGCAACTTGAGGAACATAGATACCACCCAATGTTTAAGAATCAGAAAAGTGCGAAAGTTTCAATTTATGCTTCAGATAGAGCCCCAGTGAATAGTACAGTGGATGGTGAACCTAAAGATGTCATGTATATTACAGATGAAGGATGTGAGAAAATCGGTGAAATAGATGTTGAGATACCCAATACTTTACTTGGAACGGAAAGAAATCTTCTTGTCAGAATGGTGTATGGTGGGACAGAATTATCGGTTATCGTGATAGATGAAACAAGCGGCAAAGATTTCCCATTGAGCATAAAACTGATCTAACCAGATGCAAACACATGATTTGTGAAAGAGTAAAGTTTGATTGAATATCAAACCAAATGTTTAATTCTTGTAAAAAAGAAATTGACAGCAAATATTGTTTTCAATTGTTGTAATCGATTCCCGAAAGGGTTGTTATATGTCTCAGTTATTTTAAACATTTGAATATGGTACATAAATAGAATAAAATGATACTGAACAAACTATCATGCTGCTATTTAAGAGGGGCTTTATACCTCCAGCAATGAATTTGTGTATGCACTTTCTGTTCTTAAGGGAAAACACTAACATATTTCATTTTATACAGACACTCAGAAGTATTTTTTATAAAAAAATTCAATCAATTATTGTTTAACCAGATTCAAAGTTTTTTACTCTTAAAAACAAAATGAGCTTGGAATAGATCACTCTTATAAACCTTCAATTTTTTTTACTATTTTATCCTTGAAGAAGTATTTAAGGTAAGCCTTCTAACAAAAAATAGTGAAAAACAGAATCCCTAAAGAAAGCCCAAGACGGCAAAATTGTAAAATGTTGCAGGCTCGGTTTGATTGAGCCTGTTCATTGACGGTACTGGAAAGTGCAAGTTACCGTCCACGCCCCCTAGCACCGGCTTAAGTAGAATTCAACATGCTGGGACTTTAAAAACTTCATTTTAACGTGATTTGAGTAAGTTTGATAAATTTGATATTTTGTCAATCATTTGGCTTAGTATTCGTACACTATATTTGTAGTGAAAAGAGAATATATGTATTATTTTGTTCATATATGAAATTATTCATTGATTGAAAGTATTGATTTTTTTTGCCTCTTTTAAAATGAATTTATACATCAATGAGATATAGTTATAACATTATTACCCAACAAATTTGCAATATTTTGTTTATGTATTTTTTATCTAACTTTACTCGGCACTTTTGTTCTGCAAATCGACATTGGTATTATCAACAACACGTACGCGTATGTTATGAATAAGCAAAATTATCAACGTCTGAATCCCAGGCCATGTACTCTCGTGTTGACAATTACTTATGTTGGTATGTGAATATTACAAAAAGCGAATTATTATCAAAGTGCCGAGAATCTTGATGAAATTTTCAATAAATATGGCAATATCAAATCAAGTATCGTATTCATTAAACATTAACTCATGCAAGAACCGATTGCTGATGAAAGAACTATTGGTTCAACCCTTGTGCTACTTTTGTGTAAATATTATGATAATACAGTAAGAACTCTGAAAACCGGACCCTATCAATACTTTACAAAAAGTCCTGTTTTCAGAGGATTCCGGTTTTCAGAGGTTTTATACATTTATTGATAATTATGATGAGTTTAAACAATGACTTTGTTAAATAATTTTGTATTTACTTTTCAAACCTTATTATTTCTTTTTGCAATAAATGTCTTAAGTATTTTTATTATGCAAATCCATGAATATAATTCAGAAAATCAGTTATTTAAAACAACACATTGTCTGAAATATATCCTAATATGGCTTTGAAATATGTAATTTTTATGGAATTTAGTATAACAGTACTATTTTTGCATTAAATAAATGTCCAAGCAAAGATAACTTCAAGATCGAAATTTTAAGCAAAACAGGAATCATTTAACAAAAGTTTCATAATTCTTTAAGCCATTTTATATAAAAAAAAAACAAAAAAAAACACAAGAAATTATAAACATTTTGCAAAATCATACCTATACAGGGAAAGACAGTTATGATGAAATAGCTTTAATCTAATTGCCAATATAGAAAATAAACACATACTGAGAATTGTTTTAACACCTGCATACATAAAAAGGAGGTGATCATTAACTGGTAATTGAACATGTGACCTGTTGAGCTACATTATAATACACAGAAAAATGACACTTGAAATTGCTGTACGGTTTTGAGGATTGTTTATGCATGTTTCCTATTAGTAGCCATAGAAAATCGTCCGGTTTTCGGAATTCAGAGGTTCCGGTATTCAGAGGACTTTTTTCAATGAACTTATAAAGAGAAAATACGCAAACTTTTAAAATCGTCCGGTTTTCATAAGATTCCGGTTTTCAGATGGTCCGGTTTTCTGAGTTTTTACTGTATACTGTTATAAATGTGTACGAAAAGAGCAATAAATATGTTTTAATCAGTAAATAAAACTTTATTTTTACTACTGAACTTTGAGTTTTCTCAGCTTTTGCCCAATTTTTTTCAGCAGCTTAGAAGTTGGGCCTGGTTCACTGTATATCTTTGCAGTGCAGCTCGCCTTGTTTATCTTCATATTGATAATCTTTTAACAATAACATTGTAAAAACATTCTCCTATTGATCATCTTAGATATTGAGTTATATTTAATTGCTACATTTTAACATGTATAGACTTATTTATTTCTTGCTTGTTTAACGACGATTTTAACACCGTGTCGGGCAATCAACCGTAACCTCTTTCTGAAAACCCCCCCAGAAATTACCATTTTTCCCCAGCTTCAGCATGCCTTCTGAATCAGCTGTTCGAGAAATATCACCATTATACTCAATATATAGAGATTTTGAGCTATTTGACACCTATATTCTGTATGAATCTGAATAAGCAAGGAAATTTCGCCTCGCCTGATGATCGGACAATTTCGTGCATTACTAATCCAGTGTTAAGCTAGCTCACATCTATTTCCTGTTGAATCTGTATAAGTTGATGCTATGCTATGACAGATTTCATTGACGTGCAACACATTTATAACGTTCCTGAAGCACGCAACTTCAATTGATAGACTGAACTTTTTCTAAGAACCACACGTGTATAAATATTACATATTCTGCATAGCATAATACATTACACCGGACAATGATTTGACATAAACCCAACATTAAGAGGACAGTTTAATCGGTCAAAGATTGCACAGTGATCATGGAAAGTGATGTGATCATAACTCGTTTTTTCTGTCTTTATGGTATATTGTTCGTAATAATTTCTGTTATTTTTAAGACTTAAAACAGGCAAAGTAAAAATCATCAGCTTGCAAAAGAAATAAAAGATAGTAAGGTGGAAATGTATTCGAGAGTTTTCTTCGAAGAAAAGATAAACACGTAAAGGAAAAAAAGGATATAGATACAAATAAACTAATAAGTGAACATGGTATGAAATTAAAAAGACATAAAGCTTCGACGGTTAAGACGTTTTGTGGTAAAATACGAGGGTTGTCCCAAAAGTCAGAGACTAATCTTATAGACGGTTCATTTTAAGCGACAATAGATAATAATTCACACATATAACCTATAAGTTTATTATTTGACATTACAACAAATTGTTTACAAAATATATACTTTAGTTACTTATTTTTTTCAAAATTAATGACATTGGTTTGAGTTCCCAGAATACGTCAAATAATTTGCATTTTGTTATGAATAGGCTTAAATAGAATACATATATTTCAAATATCTGATGATGTGTCAGCACAATACCGCACTGACTTGCTGCTATGTTGACATCATTGTAGAACATTTTAGTAACATAACTTAAGAAACGAAAAAGACACCAAAAAAAAAAAATTGAAAATATCTCATAGAAAAAAAGGAAAGTTAAAATGGCGACGTCCGAAGAATGTTAATGTCTGTAATTGTCGATTTCTGGGTAAAAGTGCACTGTTTAGAAAGGCGCTTAATACAGACTTAAATCAATCTTTGAAGTTTGACGTGCGCCGCGATTCAAATAGTTGCAATGTTATTTACGGCATATTTTTGTTGTTTGTTGATATTTTTCTATGTAAATTTGTAAAAATGTGTTTATCACATATCAATTCATCAAATTCGTACCTATTTTATACAGCTTTTAAACAATATTGTCACAGAATATTAGGACAACCCTCGTATTTTTGCCACTTTGAAGAAAAATACATCGACTTATCACAACATACTTATTGTAGCAATTCACCGACAATAAATCACATTTTTTGATCTTGTTGTCTATTTGAATGACCTTGTTGTCAGCTGCAATGACTGCCAGCTGGAGAAGGTATAAAAATAGAAAGTAAGTGCCCAAAGACATGTATACGTTTGAAGAACAGACCATTATGTCATTGGTACATTTAACATTTTTGAAAATCGCACAACTGTTTCTCATCTAGGAATCTCATATTTAATAAATTGTCATTCATACGCTACCTTTCGTTGAATTGTACAGAAAGTCATAGAATGGTTCTCAAACATCGGCGTATAAATACTAGTACATCCTCAACTGGTCAAACATGTCTAAACCTCCGTTTGTGCTCTTTGGTGGTGGTCATGTGCTGATGGCTGGTTGTGATCAATGCTTCCGAGTGATCATAGTTTTTTCCAGAAAATTTGTTTTTTTTTCTTTCTTTCTTTCTTTTTCTTTTATTTGCTTGTTGGATGCGTTGATTTAATGCCACCCTTTATTAAAGGGTATAAATCTACGAGGGTCGTCCGGAAAGTCCATAGACACCTGCTTTAAAACGAGTATTTTGCATCAGAATTAAATAAAACTTTTTTCAAATTACTGACCAATGTTCCGTGATCAATGCTACACAATTTCAAAACTTTCTGTTCTTAAAAAAATGAAACGGCACGGTTTTATGTTAAGGGATGTACAGGTGTACCGAGCACGCCATGACGTTACTCGTGAATGTACTTACTAAAATGTGACGTCAAGGTTGAAGCGCAGTTATTTTTTCTCAAAACATATTCACCGTTGCATCCCACACATTTCCTCTGTCTATTAACCGATTTGTCATACACCTTTGAATAACAGTCACGCTCAATTCCAGAAACAATGCGTAGTGTTGCTTTTCTTAGTTCAGTGAAATTCCTGAACTTTAAACCTCTGAGTTGCGACTTTATCAATGGGAACACGGCGAAATCAATTACTGCTAAGTCCAGACTCTATGCAGCAGAGTCGTAAACCCCAGTAACTGACTTTCCAGCGGAGCAGTTGCAGCCGTATGAAACCATGTTTCATGAGTTGTAAAAATTCTGTCAAAAATGCATCACCGCTTCTTTTCCATGGGCGAAGAAATTATTTTGCTGCTCTAACACGCGCCTCTTTATCATTACTGGAAAGTAACCTGGGGACCCAACATGGACAAACACGCTCCATCCCAAAGTTTCAGTGACCATTGTATACACAGTTGTCTTTCAAATATCACATCGTTCAGAAATAGCTCTTACCTTTAGGCGCCGGTCATTATTTGTTATTAATAAAATTTACTCTTCCTGAATGTAAATATTCTGTTGTTTCACCTCTATCATTATGAAATCGCGAGTTTCATTTGTATACATGAACGCGAGAAACACTTGGCCTGTTACTGTTTGAATTAATAAATCAATCGTCTGTCAAGGCGTTTTCCCAAGCTCCATGCAGATTTTTTCTAGAACACGCTGCTCCACCTAAACGTTTGACGTCGTTCTTTCCCATGATTTATTGTCAATAGTTCTCCTCAATATTTTATTTTTAAACAATAACGTTCAATTCATAACAATATTATAAGGATCTTAAATCGGATGCCAATACAGTACCCTCTAGCTCGAGGGTAACTGTTTACAGCGGTAACGAGACTTTGTCGTGTTCCGCTAAATAGCGACACGAGAGATAGATATTCAGATCTGTTACGGCAGACGGTGTTTGAGTCTTTTTCTTGCATATTGAATACAAATCATATTTCGGTAATAAATAACCAAAACTTTTGTTTCTGTGCAGCACTTTTTTCTTATAGTAGAATACGAATTTACAACTTAATTCATAACGGCACATTGACGTCATCCTAAGAACGCGATTCCTGCATAAAAGGGGCATGGGAATGACGTCATTCAAAACACGCGACTTGTCTTACATTGGGGTGTTTGACAGGTTTTTCTAGCACCGGTTTGAATGGCAGATAATCCTGCTTGATATGTAAGTCAGCGTGTAACGTCACGTCATGGATTGTTAATACCTAAAGAAGGAAGGAGCATGAGACTGGTAAATATCTCCAGTTTTGACGTACTCCGGATATCCCTACTCAAGGTTGCCACGAAAAAGACCACACGGGTGCCGAAATCATTTTAATATTTTTATCTTAATCAAGCTATGCAATTATTATTATGCACCGCTCAACATAAAAAAGTTTGAAAAAATAGAATTAATAAAGAAAGATCGGTTTTCTTCGAATGTTCCGGACAAGCCTCATATATCTTAAGAAATACAGTCAACTATCGTTATCTCGACATCGCTTTTCTCGATACTTCGTTATCTCGATGAAATTTTGAAAGTCCCGATTTTATTCCTTCTTTGTCTATATTGGAAATATTTGTTTATCTCGAAATTTTTATTTCGATATTTTCAGTATCTCGATGTAAAATTTCAACCCCAACAGTCATTTTCACACTTTTATCCTTTGTTTATCTCGACATATAGTTTTCTTTCGTCTGTTCCATTCAGACGTGTGAAAAACACAAACTAGACGATAATTGCTCAATAGCGTGTGTCATAATGATGATTATGTTTGTAACAAGTTTAGCTGTTTTTATAAAAGTTAATCTATTTAGCGCGTTGATTGACTTATGTCCAAAATGAGTTAATTTTACGTTCTTTATAAATATTCGTACACTGTATTAATTCATTATGACTTTAAATGTAAATGCAATAGTGAAAGTATAGAAACGCTATCGTTGCAAAAATGTTTCACAACATCACCACCAGATCAATCAGCGGTCGAACAATCTCGAGAAAGACCCGATAACTAACCCGGGAGGATATCCGATATGTTTTCACTATATTGGTGTATTACTGAGTAAACCTCACTATGTGTTTTTATCACAGACACCCGTTCTTCGGCTGGTAAACATCCGCTGTTACTTTGTTAAATATTGGCTAGGCCTATGAAAAGGAGATTTGGGGATATCATAGTTTATTTGATATTCAAACCCTAATATGTTTATCTCGACATTTCGTTATCTCGATATTTTTGGACGGTCCCGGTGACTTTGAGATAACGAGAGTCGACTGTAGTTTTATAAAATTTATCAACAGTAAAATTATATTGGTTCCATTTATATTTAGCGGATTCCCGAAAAAGTTGTAACATAGAATGTCTCTGTTATTTAATACGGATGAAAAATGTACGATAACAGAATAAAATATTCCTGAACAAAATATTATTTTGCTATTTCAAGTAAGATTTTATCCGTTTAGCAATGACTTTATGCATGCGCCACTCGCTTAAAGGCAATTTATTGCCATTTTCATTTTGTACAAGCATTTTGCAAGTATTCTTTTTTAAAACTTAATCTAAACGAGCTTGAAACCCTTATGATATTACAGTTCTTGACTTTTCAGTTTAACCAAGGCATAAAATATGATATTGGTTATTACATACAAGTTTGAACAACGAACATGTATTATGTAATGTTATCTCTTCGTTTCTTTAATAGTGATATATTTACTTAGTTTTAAATTAATTACCTTTTTTCTTTCCTATCTTTTATAAAGCGCAGAGCATATACTAATAATTGTAGAAACAAAGCCTTCTACTGTAATTGAAAACGCAATTTATGAAAGATTTCTGACAGAAACAAAATAAAACTACATTAGACATTACCTTTCAGTCTAACAACTAGTATCTAAATATCTTTCTGATGGGTCCTTTATGTTTTGTTTTTCTTAAGCTAAAAGTCGCATTAACATTATATACCATATGACAAGTTTTCTACCTTTGTTATTTACATGCAGGCACCTTGGATAGAATCATTGACCTTCCGCAAGCTATTTAGTTAACTTCTTCCCATGACACAACATAAAGCATCTGTTGATATTCGAACCAACAGTGTCAGGAACAAGTATTTTGAAAACCACCTAGATGTAGATCACCTTTTTCCAATTTAATAATCTTGTCAAACAGTATCACAAAAAATAAGTAGCGTGGGTCTTCTGTTGTTTAATGTCGCGTCAATGCCAATTTGTTGTTATTCTGATTGTGTCAGTGTCATTTATCATTTTTGTATCAAAGTTCTTCAAACAAATAGAAACATTTTTTATTCTAAATCCCTGCTTTGGCAAACAAATATAAGACATTAAGTTTTAACTTTATGAATGGATAATCAATGCAGTGCCTGAAAACCGTTTCGTTTTTGATAATTTTGAAATGGTTTGCCTTTGTTTTTTGGGGGGTTTTTTGGTTATTGTTTATTTGTCATATTTTTATTTCAGAAATAGTCTAAAAGGCGTAACTCAAAAAGTATTTGATATTGCAACTGGAAACTGTAGAGATGGATAGATCAACATGAGGAAAGTACAATGGATGTTTTTTTTTAAATACTAGTACTTAATTGTGAGCGGGTCATAGTGTTGTCTTATAGAATAAAGTTTCTGTAATTAAAGAAAATTGTTTTTTTTTTTAATGTAACGGAGTTATTTATTTTCTTAATCAGTACATAGAATAAATTAATTTTAGATATATCATAACATTTGTACTTTGACAGGTAGACCATATCTTTTAGGCGAGGTTCCTGTTATTCAATAAGGGGCAGTGTATACGGAAATAATAAATATTCTTAATGTATTTATGTTTTACTGTACGAAATTAACCATTTTAATGTGGAACATATACGAATTTACTCGACAAAAATATTCTCTAACATTAAAAATATAATTATTCAAAAGCAAACCTTAAAAAAATGAACAAGAAAAAAGCAGTATCTCTCTTTAGTGATAAAAGTGTCCCTGTCCTTGACAAAAAGTTATTTTAATCACACGGGGACAGCTTGAGGGCTATAATGGCTGTTATGACAATAAATATCCTGTCATTAACTCACTGATGCAAAAGATGTTTTACATGCAAAAAATTGGGCTTTTATCATAGAATATATTTAATACCTGTTTTTATTAGATATTTAGTGGACGACATACGTTTTGTTTGTCTTTTCTCGCGTTGCTTTCCCTTTTCTCACGATTAAAAAGAAACAAAGAATGATTCGGCTAGCAAAAAAAAATATGTCAAACAACGAACAATTTTTATTTCTAAAATGTTTAAAAGAAATGAAAAGTGATATTGAAACGTGTCATAACAATTTAACTGAACCTAGAAATAAATTTTTATTGCCTCTTGGAGTACATAAGCTATCATTTCGTTTACTTTTTAATGCATTATAACAAGAACATGTTCTGAGGATCTCAGTTTGTAAAAATAAAACATATTCATTGTTTTCATTTATTACACGGACTGATGTAAATGCTCGCAAGTTGCAATTTCTATACTCACGCAGATTGTGCATATTTTTAATGTAAAAACATAACAAAACAGATAAGTGTAACAATCCCCTCAAACGTTTAATGTTAAAAGACCTCCATAACAAGTGCTCCAAATTAGATAAGATTATTATCATCAAATTGCACTCGATGTACTCATTTTAAAAGTCTGATTTTGATTTTTTTTTCTATTTTAGTGTTAAGCTACAATAATTCGGTAGGAATACTGTAAGATTTAACAAAGGTAGTATTAATTAATAAGGTCAGTGATCGTTTAGTTTATATTTTAGAAAGCGTATGTTTATATTATTATATATATTTGTGCGTGTTTGTATATATGAAATTGTGTATGCATATTTCAAAACTTGATTAAGTTGTACCATTCTATTATAGTGTTATGATGCATTTACTTTTAATAGTATTCATTTCTTATATTGCTGATAATGCGGACTACCATTACATTAAATATACATGATGTCGACCATCTGGATACAAAATAAGAATGATATGCAATTAGGTAATAGTTCGCATAAATAGCTTAAGGTAGACCATAGGTGATCGGCACTATAAGGAACTGTAAAATTCACAATATAGGACAGCTATGTGTCTTAAAGGTCACCTGTATGCAAAATTTAAATAATATTTACTGTGTGGTTTATGAGATATGGATATATTTCTGAACTAAAACTTGCTATTAGAAGGGCTTTTTTTCAGAAATGAGGAAACTCTAAATAATCTATAAAATTATCATTATGAAAAATGTTTTCCTATTGCTCATTGTTAAGGAACAAATAATAGCATTCAGGTAACAAATTACAGGAGCAAAACGATTGTTTCAAAACAAAATGTTTTTCGTATGTATAAAAAGGTTACCATACCCACCCACTTTCAAAACTGATTTGACCATTTTCTTATATAAACAGCCTTATTAGTCCCCTACCGGTTTAACCGGTTTACCCCCCGTCCGTCTGCCTGTCTGTCAGTCCGTCAGTCCGTCCAAAAAACTGGATCCAGCGATTACGCAAAACGTACTGAACATGATACTTGATATATGAATAAATGGCAGTATGGAGATTATGCACGTCTTTTTCTTTTCTTCCTATGTTGAAAATTCTGGTTGCTATGGCAACAAATAGACTGAAAATATGGCAAATTTTACACATAAACTGGATCTAGTGATAACTCAAAAAGGACTGAAAATATTTTTATAAAATTTGAAATATGGGTAGATGACTGTCTGGAAATTATGCACATCTTTTTCTTTCCTATGTTGAAAATTCTGGTTGCTATGGCAACAAAAAGACTGAATTTCAAGATTTCTGATTTGAATTTTTACGCTTTTTCACTGTTAGTTCTTTATTCCTTAAGGTGTTTCTTTCAAACTTTAAATATAAGTGTCTGGTCATCAACCACATTATATGTGATAAGGTTTATAACTCTAGCACAAAAAATATCAGAATTACCTCCCTTGAACTTAGATTTTTTATGGATAAAAAACGTTGTCTTTTTTAGATAACTTTTTTATTTCTTAATGTATCTACTTCAAAACTTCATATAATTTTTTATATGTTTAATATTATCACTCAACAATTGTGAGAAGGTTCAATACTCTAGCAAGACTATTTCTAGAATTATGTCCCCCTTGAACTTAGATGTTTTTCGAGAAATTGGTATTTTTTACTCCAACTTCTTTATTCCTTATAGGATTTACTTTAAAATCCCACATCATAATAACATGACAAGGTTTATAAATCTAGATCCATATTTCCAGAATTATCTCCTTCTTAAACTGTGATTTTTTTATTCATTCTTTAACTTTCTTATTTCTTCATGGATTTTCTCCAGATTCAAAATAAACATTAATTATCAACACATACATTATATTTTTGATTTTAATTTTCATCTTTGTTACTTACTGTACATTATAGTTAATGCTAAATTTGAAAATTGTTTTTTTTTCTTTCAAAGTTTGTCTAAATTTTCTTAAAGGTATATTGGTTGAGCATGCGAAAAATAAAATACATTTACCCTGTAGTTTTTTTTCTATTAAACTTTGAAAATATCTGGTATCATATTTGCTATTAAATTTGGCATTTTTTAGCAAATAAAAACCTACAATAATTTCATAAATAAAATCAAACACTTTTTTCTTCCATAAGGGATCTAAGAGATACATTGAATCCACGCCCCGCAATTTCAATTTAGTTGACAAGTGATTCTAGCCCATTTGAATACTCTTCAAAGTGAAGGTAATGCATTACCCATGGTCTACCTTTAGAAAGGGTTTACAATTCAGCAATGGCGTATACAGTTGAAGGTTTAGCGTAAGGGCACTCATTCCGACGTCTAAGTGATTAATTTAGGGTATAAATTAGGCGGTGATTTTTACTATCGCTCTTTTTATTGAATAAATGTAGATAATGTTCCAAATATACTGGGACTATAATTCAAACGAGACAGTAATACTATTTCTATAATATTTTAAAGATTGGGTTAACCAATTATGCTTTTGAGGTAATATCACACATTCAATACATGTTTATTTTGAATGTAGTATATACATGTATATATTATTTAACAGTTTTATTTACGTTCATGAAGAAATAGCATAAATAATTCAGGTCACAATTGAGCATAGAGAACGTTAAGATGGTTGACAGAAGCGAAAGTTCACGAAAGATGTCAAGTGATAGGGAGGTACAGAAAATTGAAAATATTAATGAAATACTTACAATACACACTTTGTATATTACATCAAAAATGTACTAATTTGAATCATAAAAATATACAGAATTGTTTGTGTTCTGATTCTTTCATTACCAATTATCTAAAAGCTGCTTATATTTATGCTATTTGGTATTTTGATTTGCTTTCTTAATCAAAAGTATTAATAGTATACCTTATGAAATGTTCGCGGATAAAATCAGAAGGTGGAATTGAAATTGGGTTGTACGTCTGTCGCACGTGCAAGATAACTTTTAAGGTTTCATGGTATTCATTTAAGAAACAGACACATAAAAACAATAATTGGGTCTAAATGTAGCATGGCTTGTAGAAGATCGAAAGAAGGCAAAAGGATTAGCCAAATATTGTACCTTTTATAACCTCATTTAAAACACCTCTTGGAGAAATATTTAGTTCTTTCTGTGTGTTTATATATAGGGAGAAGAAAACGACCAAAGTCTGTCCTCAGACTGTGGTGAAGTATCGATTGCTGGGCAAATCTGCAGTGATTCAGTAAAATCAAATGTTTGGATACGAGATTCTGGATAAGTATATTTATTATAATGTTAATATATTCAAACCGGTTCCAATAAGTTTTTGTAAGGTTTGAAACGTTTTCTCTACTGTTCAGCCGTTTGTCAATGACTGTTTTCACTTCTGATAACTTTCTATATTAACATATGCAAATATTTTTATTCTTATTTATAAATACGCCAGACAGTGCTTTTGGCGTTCTCCTCATATTAAGGAAAATATAAGAATGTTATGCTTTATTCAAAGGTTGGAGTTTGGCAGCCGAAAAGCAGGAACCAACATTAAAGAGCTCTGTAAATATCAGGTAGGAATTTGATTTCTACTTCAAAATATTGCAACAGTAAGATTAATGAGGATTTATTTAAGATATTTATGATTTAAATAACGAATAATACAGTGAAAATCTTCATGATAGTAACTGCACCATGAAGCTAAATTTCCAACAAAATAAAATTCCTCTTAAATTGAAAATGATAAAAACTTAATGCCATCAATGATGAAACATGTATGAGTGACTTGTTTTTGCTTTGATCCCATCTCGAAAGTCCATTTTGTTTAGTTTCCCTTGTTTTTTACTCGTTAATGACCCAAGCGCATTATTAAACTTTGGTATTTAAAGCCACTTCAAACAAGTCATACCGACATGTCACATTGATGGTTTTTAAAGTATGAACACAACCGCGAATGTTTCTAGATTCAAAATTTCACCATTGTTGAATACTTCTTAAGCTGATGCTGGAGGTCGTGGCCGGTACCTTAATTTTGTATGTCCTAAAACCTTCCATAAAAAAGCTTGATAAATACAAAGCCTGCAACATTTTAAATTTAACCGTTCATGACATACAGATACATATTCTTATTTAAATCGTAGGCCTAAACAAGCAGACAACTCCTATTGCTTTTGAATGAATGAACCAATTCATTAGTAGTTGATCAATACTTCAACAATACCTTTAAAGTGCTGTGTGAAAGCCAAATTGGAATTTCCTCCTTTTATTTTGGTGATATTTCTGTTGGCAATAAGATTAAAGAACATAAAAAGGGGCTTAATTGAAATTGTTACAGGTTTGATAGCCTGTTCATGTACGGTATTGGAAGCTGTATATTATATTGTCCCCCGTCCTTAGCACCGGTTTAAGCATAATTTAATATTTTACATGGGAAGATATTTTAAATTTGGAAACATCTGCTGTGTTTAACAATGTAACAATAACGTGAAAAGCGGATTAAGGTCTCTTATTAAAAGAATTACTATGCCCAATAGGAGAATACTATGGTGGCACAAAGATGACATGTGTGTTTTATTAATCCCGTGCGCAGGAGATACTATGTCGTTGCCATGACATAGTTAAGTCGTGGGAACGAGGTACTATGTCGTGGCCACGAGTTACTAAGTCGTGGTCACGAGATAATTAAGTCGTGGGAACAAGATACTATGTCGTTGTGACGAGATACTATGTCGTGACCACGAGTTAATAAGTCGTGGCCACGAGATAGTTAAGTCGTGGAACGAGATACTATGTCGTGGCCACGAGATACTTTGTCGTGGCCACGAGTTACTAAGTCGTGGGAACGAGATTACTAAGTCGTGCGCACGAGATAAATAACCAATCAGATTACAATATGAATTTTTGAAACTTAAAAAAAATATGTTTAAAGTTTTACATGCAACAATTTACTTTGAAAATACTGTAGTGTTCATTTTAAACTTAATACATGTCTTTATGATGATATTAGAAAGTCAACGTCTAAGGCCCATTAATCAGACAATAATTTTGACTAAGTTATAGACCTTTGTGGGGACAACTTATTATAGAATTGGTCAGTTTGTACGGACAACCTTGTTTATACGATAACTTGAGAAAGAATTAGTCCTGGTTTATTTTATTTGGTATGGTCAATGCCCATGGAAAGTAGGTAGCCTATATGGATGTTTGAGGCCAAGGAAAAATTAAAGGTAAACATGACACTTCGTGTAAAATCCTTGTCTGGTGAATGATTTAGAAGGAATAAGTCATGGTTTATATAGCCTAGAAAGCACCTGATCAGTAGATGACACATAATAATTTTGAGGCCATTGGCTAAAGAATCAGGGTGACAATGACGCTAAATGTAAAATCATTGTCCAATCAATAACTTGTATAAATGGCACTTTTAAAGGCAGGTGAAGTTTGGGCATCCTTGTTACACATTTCTAGTTAATGAGGACAATTCATATAAATAGTGTAATCTGATAGGTTATTTATCTCGTGCGCACGACTTAAATATCTCGTGGCCACGACTTAGTAACTCGTGGCCACAACATAGTATCACGTTCCCACGACTTAATCATCTCGTGGCCATGACTTATTTACTCATGGCCTAGACAAAGTATCTCGTGGCCGCGACATAGTATCTCGTTCCAACGACTAAATTATCTTGTGCCCACGACTTCATTACTCGTGGCCACGACATATCATCTCGTTCTCACGGCTCAACTATCTCCAGGCCACGACTTAGTAACTCGTGGCCACGAGATAAATAAAACACACATATGTCACCTTTGTGCCACCTTAGAAAACAGTTTCTGTTTTCGGAATTTTACAACATCAGTTTGATCACAAGAGATCTATCCAACGTTGACCATGCTTTTCGCCTAACAGTGCAATCCAGTCATCAGTGTATTTCATCGGATAGAGCTCCAGATTGAAAGAGTGACGTATGAACAGACAATTAACTCAAAATTCATCACTTTCCTTCACAATTCTAAATTGCTTAATTTTGAATTATTACACTTTGTTTTTTACTTCGTATTTAAAATTTCAGGATGAAATATGGCAAACTAAGCGTTTTTAAACAACCGATGTGTCTGATAAGGAATGATGGTAATGAGACTTTAGCCGTGGTTGAAGATGTCCTGCAAGAAATATCGACTATTGATAATACTGTTAATGTAATAGCAATAGCAGGTCCATACAGAACCGGCAAGTCTTACTTACTTTACAAGTTGGCAGGACGTAAACAAGGTAAAAATAGTTTACTTGCAAATTTTACTGTTCAGACAGAAACTGACGACCAAAGTTATCAAAACATTGTTTTACACAATTTATCATTTTTGTCAACAAGCTTAAAAGTCGGCCGCATTATGCCTATTGTATCATGAAATGATTTTAGTTTTAAAGATGAATGTTTATCAACATATATTTAAAATGAAAGAACTGATGTATCATTCAAATGACACTTTAGGTTTATCTTGGCTCCCAAATTTTAGGTTGAATTTGCATACACAAATCCTGCATAGAAGGATGATAAAAGTTTAAATCATTTTCACTTTTTGCAATAATATTTTCTTAAATTTCATTTCTATTTCTCTAAGGTTTTCCCTTAGGTGGTACTATTGAAGCAAAAACAAAGGGTTTATGGGTTTGGTGTTTGGAACACCCGGAACGACCTCAAGAAATTTTGATGTTGATCGATACGGAAGGAATTGGTGATGTCGATAAGGTTTCAATCATTGTTATTAGACGAGCAATAAAACTGTTCTATCTTTGAAACAACTACACTATATATTTAATGAATAAATTATTAAATCAGCATGTTTCCATATTTACAAACGTCAAATCGTAACAAAGGCAGTATAAATATGGCAATGTCGTATATACGGCAAAATCAGCCATTTCTTGCACATAATATGTAAAGTATTACTTATATTGAATATGTTCACTTTTCTTTAAGCCTTAGTACATATTTTAAGTTTGAATTTAATAAAATATTTTACTCCATCTGGAGAAAAACAGCTTAAAGAAACTAAAGAATGAACAGTTTTTGCTGCGAATGTTTCAAATTCAAAATTTCAATATTACCATGTTGTATTCTCCTTTTAAATCGGTGCTAGGGGTGTGGACAGAAGTTATCATTTACAAGATCTGTCTGTGAACATGCTGAATTAAACTAAGCAACACTTCCCGTTTGGGCGTTTTGGACTTTTTAGGGATTCATTTTTTCTCTATTGTAAAGTAAATTGCATTATTGAACAAACTGAAACTTATTGTATTGTTAACAAAAATCCGAATTTAATGAACACATAAAGTTAATTGCATAAGTATCTTATTGTCATTCTAACCAAACTGTTAACTGTAAATTGCATAACTTATTCAGTTATATTTATTTTTAAGGGTGACGAAGACAACGACAATAACATCCTTTGCCTTGCTACATTATTGAGTTCAACATTTGTTTATAACATGTTCGGAGTCATTACCGACCATATGCTGAAAAGTCTTTCGTATCCTTTTTCGAAATAATTATCTATAATCATTTTATTCTGCAAAATCTTATTTGATGATTAAATACCAATACAAATACAATGCAATGGAAATTTAGGATTTTAACTAGATTTACCTAATTAATCGAAAGGACTTTTTGATTCTCGATGAAGGCAAATGATCCTAAGTCCTGTTTTAATTTAAAAATGTTTTATAAACATTGACATTCTAAGCAATATAATATAATCTAATCAATCGAATAAGACATTGATTATATCATATCTGAAATGAACAGACTCAATTAAACCTAGCCTTTCAGTATTCCGTTTAGGACGTTTTTTAGTGATAACGTTTTTCTCTATTTTACAAAATCCATGGTTTCCTTAACTTAAATCTGCCCTCATAAACATATATTTTATGGTTTATTTTATAAGATGTGACACTATTGAAGGGATTGAGCGCTTTAAGTCCACCACAAAAAGATACGCTCAGATATATTCAAAATGATATCGCTTGATATAAAGTCCGCCTAGTCCAATTGTTTCAAATCACCAAGATCTACATATATTGCTATGTTAATTTGACAAAATAATGTGCTTTTAAGTAACCGTCTATATGATAGCACTCATGTTGTATTCAATTCTTTAACATTAAACAAGTTTTGTGACAAAAATTGCAAAGAAAGTTGTTTTGAGCAGGACATGGTTCACTGAAAATGCCCAATTTTCACCCGATATTGGCTTCTTTTTTCCTTCTTTTGTTTTATGCCTCCGAGACTTCACCTTAGGAATGAACGATGAATCTCCTGATCATTATTTTGAAAAATGTTTGAAGATGAAGAAGGAAACTGACCCGAAAGCAAAGAAATACAATGCTTTGAGGTTGTCAGTAAAGCATCATTTTGAACATCGATCCTGTTTCATCTTTGACAGACCTGCTACTAGTAGAAATGATCTTGCGCGTCTTGAGCAACTTGAAGAAAGGGATCTTAATAAGGACTTCCTCAATGATACAGAACTATTCTTAAAGCACATATATAATTGTAAACCAAAGACTCTCATGGATGGATCACTAATAAATGGAAGGAGTATGTTATTAGTCCCCTACCGGTTTACCGGAGGGGACTTTAGGTTTACCCTCCGTCCGTCTGTCTGTCCGTCAGTCCGTCCGTCCGTCTGTCCGTCCGTCCGTCCGCAAAACTGGATCCCGCGATAACGCAAAAAGTACTGAAAATATTTTAATGAAACTTGATGTATGGATAGATGGCAGTATGGAGATTATGCACGTCTTTTTCCTTTCTTCCTATGTTGAAAATTCTGGTTGCTATGTCAACAAATAGACTGAAAATATGACAAATTTAACACATAAACTGGATCCCGCGATAACGCAAAAAGTACTGAAAATATTTTTATGAAACTTAATATATGGATAGATGGCAGTATGGAGATTATGCACGTCTTTTTCTTTTCTTCCTATGTTGAAAATTCTGCTTGCTATGGCAACAAATAGACTGAAAATATGGCAAATTTTACACATAACCTGGATCCAGTGATAACACAAAAAGTACTGAAAATATGTTTACGAAACTTGACATATGGGTAGATGGCGGTATGGAAATTATGCACATCCTTTTCTTATCTTCCTATGTTGAAAATTCTGGTTGCTATGGCAACAAATAGACTGAAAATATGGCAAATTTTACACATGACCTGGATCCAGTGATAACACAAAAAGTACTGAAAATATGTTTACGAAACTTGACATATGGGTAGATGGCGGTATGGAAATTATGCACATCCTTTTCTTATCTTCCTATGTTGAAAATTCTGGTTGCTATGGCAACAAATAGACTGAATTTCAAGATTTCTGGTTCTAGTTTTCAAGTTTTTTCACTATAAGTTCTTTATTTCTTAAGGTATGTTCTTCAAACTTTAAATATAAGTTGCTTGTCATCAACCACATCATATGTGACAAGGTTTACAACTCTAGCACAAAATTTATCAGAATTACCTCCCTTGAACTTAAAATGTTCATGAAAAAAACATTGTTTTTTTTTAATAACTTTTTTTTCTGAATGTATCTACTTCAAACTTCATATAAATGTTTCTTATTGTCACTCAACATATGTGAGTGTTCAATACTCTGGCAAGACTATTTCCAGAATTATGCCCCTTTTGAACTTAGACTTTTTTTTGAGAAATTGGTTATTTTTACTCCAACTTCTTCAATCATGATAGGATTTTAAAAATGTTATATTTTGATAACAGGGATGTTTAAAAAATAACTTTAGAGTGTCCTTCAGTCCGTCTGTCTGTACATAAAAAATGTTTCCTGTGATCACTTTTAAAGATCTTTTTCAACAAATTTACTTAAAATAGGAACCTAAGTGAATGGCCAATGGCCCTTCAGAATGTTGCTTGGGCTCTTACCGGTAGGGGACTTATGGATTGCTTGCAATACTTTGATAATTGCTTGTTTATTATAATTTGTATTTCAACTTCTGAAGGTAAATTCCTCTTCTCAAAATTCAAATATCAATATATACTAGGTAAAAAGCGAACAATAAAAATACTTAGTCTTTATATAAAACGCATCAAGTAAGGAGAGATCTATAAAAATTAAATAAATAAATAAGTTATTGAAAATTGCTTACCCGGTTTTATTGAGTTTAAGCACCAGATGTTATTGCAATGTCTTTTACGCATTTTCCGTGGAAGCGGTATTCAATCAACAGCACTTAAAGTATTTCAATCAACTATCCCGAAGGACCAAAAATATATATATAAAACTATAGTGGAAGTACGGAACAACGTATCAAAGAATAAAACACCTGCTTTTATGACTATTAATCTTCTGAACGGGTAGTACCTCAAATGTAATGAAACTATGAAAACAATTATCAATCGCGTAACCGGTTTTATTGCGTCTGCTCAGCTCAAAAACTAAAATGGATGCGCAGCAAATACATAAACCTTAGTAAACGTGTGTCTAGACATCATCTGGAGATGTAAAATGCATTTCATTATCCATTATGAGTTTGCAGTCCTTTTCAACAAACCAAGTTATTAGATAATCAATATTTCTTTTTTATTTCAGTTATTCTTGTTAAATCAATATGCTTTCAGTGTTTTCACATCTGGTTGAAGAATATACGAGAGCAATCAAAAATGGAGAACTGCCGTGTATAGACGATACTTTGACCAATGTGTCTGAAAAAGAGAACCGTATTGCTATGCATACGGCCGTAGAGATGTTTACAGACCAAATAGAATCCCTTGGACTACCTTTGCCCGGTGATTTTGAGTTGAAGTACAAACACATCCAAAAGGCTTCTCTTAAAATATTTCGACAAATTGCTGTACTGGATGATAAGAAATTATTTGAAAAACAAGCAGAGGTATTTAGGTGTTGTTAAAGAAAAAAAATCAGTTGAAATAGTCTAAAAACGCCTCACCATTTTTATGGTTTCTTATTTTGTAAAATAAATAATGACATCATCTCGTCCGAGGTTTTAAGTCTTGCTGGGCTCCTTACTGGTGGTCCTGTGCTGGGGGGGGGTGTATTCGTTGAATGTCACCCTTCCTTGTTGATATTGTTTTTCATATTTAATTCATATTAAAATAAATGTGTACACACGTATTTGCAATTTTGCATTCTGAACTTGCCTGCATCTCTTGTCGCATTTCTTGACAAATAAAAACAAATACAGATAAAATCTCAAATAAGATCAAAGAAAAATATGCTAATATGAATGAAGCAATCTTCTAAATAATAGTGCAAAGCAATTGTGCTTAATTTTGTCTTTCTTTTAAGTTAATAAATGAATGTAATGATTTATTTTAACATATTTATAATTATTTTAATTTATAGTAAATAAATCTGTATTTAAAAGAGTTTTATTTACAATGTATAAAAATTGTATGCCAATCTCTTTTTTAATGTTTTAATTTTCATAAAAGGAGTTTTGCATTGATTATTTATAATAACAACGTTATTTTATATGTTTTATTTATAAAAGTTAATCTTACATTTAATGATATTATATGATTCCTTTTTTTCCAGAGAGAAATGGATTCTGTTAAGAGAAGAATTGAAGGGAAGAACAAGTTGTTTATTCAAGAGACTTCTTTGAAGATACTGCAGAATATGTACAACATTAGAATAAAACCAAAAGTTGATAACGGAGAATACTTTAACAAAGGGGGATACAAAGTGTACAACGGTGACTTTGCAAGCTTACGAAGACATCTCAGACAACAATTACCTGAAGCTGACTCAGACTTAGTGAGTAGAATTATAGTTGCAGTGTTTTCTGCCTAAATACTCGTTTTTAAGAAATAGAGTCGCAAAACTTAATTCTTTTTTAAGGAGCTCATACAGGAAAATAGCATTTAACATTAAAGGTTGAAATTCTTACATGGATCAAGTAAAGCACTAACAATTGGAAAATCAGTGAATAAAAAAAGAATATCCTCAAAATTAAGTTGAAAATCTGCCGTAAGTGTATACAACACCTATTACTTTTGGGTCGTTTTGCACAATACAAATCATTTCTATGGAGAAAAGGACAAGGGAATCATTTGAAAATTTGCACCAATTTATTTTTCCAGACCTACATCTAATGGTTCACAAATCTAGAAAATACTTAAAGTCTGTCGTATCATGTCTCGGTGGAGTCCTTCTAAGTTTTTACCTTTCCACAGGTTTTCAAAATATATACAAATATATATATAGTTAAGGTGACTAATAGCATTATTTTATTGGTTTTATTTTTTGGCCGAGAACATTCCCATTTCCGTGAGGTCACACACCGTGAGGTCACACAAAGTCATGAAATGAAAATAATTTATCGAGCTGACGTCTTAAATAAATGCAATAGCAAAATCGTTCTGTTTATGGACCTTTTTGCACTGAAGTGATTTTTATAGTACATAAGTCAGTCTGTCCATTTGTTTATGTAAGGCTAAATTGTTTCATAACTAGCGTTATAGGCCTTCTTTAGGGATTGTGTTTTCCTATATTTATCCTCAGTTATAGTCGCCACGTTCATTATTATAGTTGGGTTTGTGTTAGTTACAGTTTTTATACGCCCGTTTGAAAAACGAGTTTTATTATAGTTTCCCCCCTTGCGGGCGCGCGGCTGCGTGAGCGGCGTCCGATTTTTGTCCGAAGCATATCTCCTACACCCATGGAGGAATTTTAATGAAACTTCATAGAAATATTAACCACTATGAGAAGCCGTGTCGTGTGCATGAACAAGGCCTCTAGGTCAAAGGTCAAGGTCACACTTGAAAAACGGTTGTCCGAAGTAAAGCTTCTACCATCATAGAGGAATTTCAATATAAATGAGCACAAATGTTCACTATTGTGAGGTGAAGGGTCGCGTTCAAAATTGAGGACTCTGCAGCCAAGTTCAAGGTCAAACATAGGGGTCAAAATTCAGATAAAAGAAGAAAATGTGTATTGGGACCATAAAGTCATCATTTCTTGAGGGATTGAAACACAAATGGTCATTATCATGACTACTGGTGTGAAACATGTAATTTATGTTAATATATGCAAAGTCAAGGCCACTAAAGATGATTGTCAAGGCCACTAAAGATGATGAAATATAAAGATTTTGTCCAGAGCATATCTCTTACACATATGGAGGGATTCTTATGAAACTTCAGATTTCAGCCGGTGCTAGGGGGCGTGAGGGATGTTGCACTTATTCATTATCTCTCATGTACAGACTAACTCAAACCGAGTCTACAATTCTTATGTTATTTTGTTGTGATTAATGCTTCCGAGGGATCACTTTGTTTCCGGAATTTTGTACTTCGCAACAGCAAGTGTCAAGTGCCGTGTGGCAGCCGTTAAAAGTTGCCCCGTACTTCACTTCAGTGTTGTTATATTTTCTGGTCCTTCGGGATCATTGATGCCAATACTATAAAGTGTTGAGAACTGAGTACCGCTCATGCCGGTGCTAGGGGCGTGAGGGATGTTGCACTTATTCATTATCCCTCATGTACAGACTAAATCAAATTGAGTCTGCAATTCTTATGTTATTTTGTTGTCATTAATGTTTCCGAGGGATCACTTTGTTTCCGGAATTTTGTACTTCACAACAGCAGGTGTCAAGTGCCGTGTGGCAGCCGTTAAAAGTTGCCCCGTACTTCACTTCAGTGTTGTTATATTTTCTGGTCCTTCGGGATCATTGATGCCAACACTATAAAGTGTTAAGAAATTGAGTACCGCTCATGCCGGTGCTAGGGGGTGTGAGGGATGTTGCACTTATTCATTATCCCTCATGTACAGACTGAATCAAACCGAGTCTGCAAATCTTATGTTATTTTGTTGTGATTAATGCTTCCGAGGGATCACTTTCTTTCCGGAATTTCATACAAATGTTCACCACTATCAGAAGCCGTGTCATGCGCATGAACCAGGCCTCTAGGACAAAGGTCAAGATAACACTTAGAGGTCGTAGATAAATGCTTGTTCGGATCAAAACTTCTAAATGCATAGAGGGATTTCAATATAACTTGGCACAAATGTTCACTATTGCGAGGCGGGGTGTCGCGTGCAAAATTTAGGTCTTTGCTGCCAAGGTCATGGATACATATAGGTGTCAAAATTCAGATACAATAATCACTAGAGATGATGATATATCCAGATATTTTTCGGATATTGCCCAGAGAATATCTCATATATGCATATCTTTAATACCCATATCTCTGTCAAAAGCTTCTATGACGGGCAATTATTGCGACAATGTTGTCACTGTTTTTGTTAAAGAATGTGTGGTTAGTTCCAATATTCCTACATATTCTATACTGATCAGGGGAGGTAATTGTTGTGAAAATTAGTAAAATCCCAGTAACGATTACTTATCCTGACCAGTAGATAAAGTTCGAGGCAAATGCTTGGCGTACAAACTCCGGTTAAAGCATTTTTGTGGCGCATGGGAGAGATTTTGTGTCTTCAAAGCGTTTCTACTACAAACAAAGGTTTAAACTTTAGAAATAATATCTGTGTGAGCTGTGTGTATTGGCTATTCAATACAGGTTTGGAGTGTTGATGCGTAGGATTTTTTTCCGCATCATACGATAAAATAAGCAATCAACGAACAATACGAATAAAAAAGACATTTAGCATAACCGTTTACATTTAGGGATATTTAGGCAAATAAATGACAAAAAATTAAATTGATCTTTTTTACTCAAATCATGCTAAAATGTTGTTTTTTTTTTAAAGTCCTTACATGAATTTCTGTATAAATCCTATCTATTCTGGGCATGACGCGTAATTATATCCCGATATGTTGAAAGAAATAAAGACATTGACAGAGGCATCTAGTAGTTTTAAAACAAGAAATGAAACTTGAAAAAACTCTTGAAATTACAATTACAGATATTGTGGATATTGTTAGATTGAAATAAGTCTTTAGTCATTCATTTGACTTTAACGTTTACACAGTTATCTATAACAACTATAGTGAAATCTAAATGCTCTTACCTGACCCACGTGGATCAAGTTAGGAAACCACCATTTAATTCTTTATAAGGATAAAAGTTGTGTTCCTGTGACTGCTTAAAGTATTCATTTCGATGACATTTATAGAATATTGAAAGAAAAATTGAAATCGAAAAAAAGAAAATTTTGCATGTGTGTCCTTTAAAATGTTTAAAATTTAATGTTACACTGGCTCGATTTGATCGAATGTGACACTGGTAATACACCATGAACAATTCAATGTAGTCAAACGAGTAAAACTTCATTTTTATTTTAGCTACACATGTGTGCTCTTGATTTTGAAAGGAGATATCGAAAGCTAGACAAGGAAATACTGGAGAAGGATAATTTGAGTGTATCAGAAATAAATGGTATGTAGCAGTTTTTGAATCTTCTCTAATTAATGTTTCCATAGCTAGGTATATTTAATGCAAAGAAATAATAGGCTACAGGACCGGATGAAATTTTAAATTATCTTAAACATTATGATATGACGCACTTTGAAATTATGGTGTGTATGAGAAAATGACATTGATTAAAAAACTTACAAAACGTACAGTTAAGTGATACATTTTGAAAATATGAATACAAACAGTCAGTCTCCATCGTATTTTGATATTTCCTGCTGATTTTAAATGAAATATTTAAAAATGCCTTACCCACGTTTCATTTTTTAAATTATATGTATTCATGTAGCTAAAGTACAAGAGATCAAAGAAAAGTTTGATCAGGAAAAGAAAGAGCTGGAAGGACATGTCGAACAGAAAAGACAGACAGAGCAAAAAGCGCTAACCGAATTTAAACAAGAACTCTCCGATGAAAGAGAAAAAGAGGAGAACGAATTAAAGAAAAAGTATGCTGAAATGGCTTTGTATTGGAAAATTAAAGAAGGGAATCTTGAAAAGCAAATTGAAGATTTAAAGCTACAGCTTGACAAGGCCTCTCTTCAAGCTGAACATGAAAAACCACCAATGAAAGAAACAGTTTTGAAAACAATGCTGAGCTTAATTCCCATTTTTGGCCCAATAGCGTCTGGAGTTTATGAACGTTACAAATCTTCTTCGACGAAGTCATATACATTCTACTAAGTGTGTTTCTTTATCACCCTGAAACTCTTAACAGAAATGTGTTACATAATTTTACTCAATGAAAATTAAGAAACATATTCAAACTTAGTGTTGCCTTTAGATTATCTGAAACGTTCTTACAAATTTATAAAGTTATATTGATTACTTTCTTGATTAAACATAGTATATACCATTTCCATGATGTGTCTAACCTGAAATGATTCTTATTTGTAGTTTTCACTTTTAAAGATATTTAAAGTTCTGACCTTATTATCCTTTAAGTTAAAGTGAATAACCTTGAAAAAAATTTGTATCACCTTAAAAATAAAAATAAATATGTGCTTTGTAATATTCCTTGCAAACGTAATGAGTAAATTTCATACAGTTTAATAATACCGTGCTGTCTGTTTATATAATGATATAATGTAGAATTTATTAATAAACATATGCAAACTGTTTCATATAATGTATTTCTTTGGGTATGATATCAGAATCATTTAAAACAAGATAAACTGAAATGCCTTTGAATTTGATTTTTGCTGATTTAAAGACACTTAATCAGTTCTTAAATCAAGCAGACGGAGCAAAATAGAAAGAACTTAACGTACCACAAAGACAACAGTAATATCGTGTTGAAAGATCTCTAAGGACCGGAAATATATATTTACCACATTAAACGAACATATTAAAGAATGTGCTTATGTCGGGAAGCTTATGGTAATGGCACCGTTTTTGGATCAAGGAAGGAACTTAGGAAGGAACAAAGAAAGAAGAATCAACTTAATTAAAAAAATAAGATAAACAATAAAGCTTTTAAATTACACAAATGACATGTTATTCTGGCAAAATAAGCAATAAACAAATTAAAATTACACGTTATAGTCTATCTATTTTCTGACCTTAATAACCTATTTTCTGATCTAATTAGGACAACTTCATAATTTCTTAACGTCAAAATTATCCAAAACCCAACAAAGAAATGTAGAAAAATTACCTAAAGAGTAATGTGTTATAAGCCGGTGCTAAGAGGCGTGAAGGATGTTTTTTTTACAATATCTCATGTACAGACTCAATCAAACAGAATATGCAATCAATTTTCATGTAATTTTATTATGATTAATGCTTCAAGATTTTAAGATGTGAGAGTTATTGCAGGCAATGGCAAATTTAAATCATTCAATAGTAGTATTATGAATGTAATACTATATATATATTGATACAAGGCATCAACTGAAGAAAGATGAGTGCAAGGGTATAGACAACAGTTTCTGCTGTTGTCCACTGTTGTTGTCATGTAATTGTAAAAGATCAAATCAGAAACAACGCAAATTAAACTGAATAACACGTATAACATACATTCGCAGATAATGATTGGTTCAGAGGAAACTGCTGTGAAAGTAGGTCTGAATAGAAAAATATTCGATGAGTGTCTTAAAAAGAATGCATAACATAAATAATTAAGCCAGTAAATGATTAGTACAGACAGCTTATCGGCGTGTATATGCATACATTAAAAATTTCCCAAATTGTCGGGATTTAAATAAAGCTACATATACATACCCGTCGACATCGTCATGTCTTAAGCAAACTATTCTTTATTGAATTCTATATTGTTAAACCGCACGTTTACGATTTCAAAAAGGGGAACGATGCAATGTCTAAGGGCGATTTATCGTGTTTGTACTGCGTGAGGGAACTTTTTAAATCTCACATATCCAGTTCTGGCTAAACCTCCTGTGATTTATGATGAAGTGTGGTAATTTGGTACAATATGATAGTCTCCTTTTGTTTACTTACGCGGTAGGGGTATTCCGGTTTTAGTTCTGATGTCTTCATGTTCGTTAAAAAATTGGGAAATTTGTCAGATGCCTTTTCATTTTTTCTTTGAGGGAGCACTAGGGCAATATTAAATGCCCTTACATGAAACATCATTTAAATTTGTTTTTGGCCCGTTTTTTTCCCATTTTAAAGAATAGCCCCAAAAGGTTTTTTTATGGGAATATGTAAAAAATCAAATGACGTTTTGCCCAATTTTTGAAGTTTTTTGCTTAAAAAAAATCATTTTAAGGGAAATTAAGGGCCCTTAATTTAAAAACTTATACAAAGTCAAAAATTTTTTTGTGGGTGGGGCTTTGGTTATTTTGACCTTTTAAATGAAAATCCCTTTTAAATGTGTTTTTTTTTAATAATGCCCCTTTAATTTTAAAAAAGGTTAAATTTCATTTTTTTGCAACTTTATTAAAAAAAAATTGGACATTGGTTGAAGAAAAACTTATATTCTCTAAAATATTCTGGGACAATCCTCGTATGTTATACTGAAAGTACTGAAACAAAGATCAAAGAAGATAGAGATTAAAATGAAATTTATGTCTTTGGCGTAAAAACGTCAGTAAATCAAACAAAATGGATCATTGTCACTTGAGAATTCGGTTCAAGCTATCTACAATCTTCGGAACAATTCAAGAAACTCGATATCAACGAACTCAGAGAAAAGAGAAATGAACAAATTAAATGTAGACAAAAAAGCTGATAATACCGTCTGTTATGAGAAATCTTGAATAAATAAACAATTCATCAAAAATAATTGGATATGAATCCACTACTGAATTCGAAGCTCAAATAAGAATTTAAAAAATCTTAATTTACTCAGTAAGCAAATAAAGCCAATAAAGCAAATAAATAATAATAATAATAACAATAATAATAATAATAATAAATCATAGCAAAAACTAGCTCTATCAGTTGCTAACCTGAACATAAGAAAGAATGACCAAAGTTAATAGTTTTTTTTTTTAGTTTAAACATATTTATTCTCAGAATATGTACATAATAACATTTGAAATATATACACATACAAAATTTGACAATATTCAAAGAAGAGGATTAGAACGAAAGACTAAGTCTTATAGAATTCTTCTCCGTTTAGTTGTTATATATATCGGTGTCGAACTGGTGATGTAAACTTTTCTGAGAAAAATATATATTACCAAACGTATAATAGAAACAAATATATATGGAGTATGAAAGAAGTAGTAATTCAAAAGAGAAAAAGGGGAAAGAGAGTCTTCATAATTATTTGTTATGTGTTAAATCGTTAAAAGAATCTTTTAGTTTTTGCTATAAAAGACTGCACGTTAGAGAATATTGTTGAATTATCATCATCTGATAGGCCAGGGTTTCCAAAGAGAAGAATATCGAGATTGATATCAAAAGCTTGAATATTAATAAATAATTCATTTCGGTACAAGTTGTAGCGATAACATTCAAAGAAGAAGTGATAGTTGCTTTCGACTTGACCACATTCACATAAAGGTGAGGGTGATATGTTTCTTAGGAACAGATGATAATTTAAAGAAACTGCATTTTGTGCGAAGACGTGTATGGAGAACCTGTAATTTTCTGTTACCAGAATAGTAGTATTTTGGTGTGCGTTTCCTGTTACGTGTTAAGAAGTTCTTGAATGATGAAAGTGTTGGTAAGTTCCGAACTTCGGTTTGGTAAAGTTGTTCCAATCGCGTATAGTAGAGGAAGAAAGGAGTTGTAGTATAAAGAAGTTTCGCGCATATATTCCAGCAGTATTATCAGAGTTACGTAAATTATACCTTGTATTAGTTGATCAGGAATTAAGGAAGAGAGAAAGTCGGGAGTCAAATTGTTATGCATTTTATAAAACAGAATTAATCGGTGATTATACCGTCTTTGTTCTAATGTTTCCCAATTAAGTTCTTGAATAAGGTTTTCGATAGAAACTAATCTTGTCGCACCTGAAGCAATCCTAGCACATTCTTTCTGAATCTTATCTAAGCTTTCGAGTTCATATTGAAAAGCATTTCCCCAATTGACGTCTGCGTATTCAAGAATAGGACGAATGAATGAAGTGTAAATTATCTCAAGAGATTGTCTGTCCAAAGAATATTTCAACTTTCGCATTATATTGACGCGCTTCCAAGCCTTTTGGTTATATATTCAATGTGTGAATGCCAATTACAGTTATTAGAGAGAATAATTCCTAGGTGTTTATGATCGTTAACTTCTGGTATATTTTGATTGAGCATATAAAAGAAGGGTGGTTTGCGTTATGTTTCCCTAGATACAATAAGTGATTCTGTCTTTTGATGGGTTGAATGTGACAAGTCAATTGTCTGCCCATGTTGTGATTGTCTGTATATCTGTTTGTAACTGTTGAGCTGCGACTAGTGGAATTTCTATAATAATATAGAGACTTGTATCATCAGCAAAAAAGGTTGACAGATGATTGGAAATCTAGAACAATATCATTTATGAAAATAAGGAATAGCAGAGGGCAAGAATAGAACCTTGTGGTACTCCAGCTGAAAGAGTACCGCAAGATGATTTTGAATTAGATATAACTACACGTTGACGCCTATTAGTGAGATAGTTAGTAAACCTTTCGAGGAGGCTGCCGGAAACACCTGCATATTTGAGTTTTGAAAGTATACCTTTATGCCAGGACTTTATCGAATGCTTTACTGATATCAAAGAAAATAACCCGAGCTTTCTAGACCATTGTCAAGTGCTTTGCACAGTGTATCATAGATAAAAAACAAGTTGATTAACAGTAGAGTCGCCAGGAATAAAGCCGGATTGAACAGGAGTAAGAAAGTTGTTAGCTTGGAGATGGTTGAAAAGATGTTTGAATATTAGCCGCTCAAAAACTTTTTCCATTGTATGAAGAAGAGAGAGATAGGGCGGTAATTATTTGGAAGAGAGGAGTCACCTTTTTTAAAAATTGCAGATACATGAGCTACTTTCCATGTCGATGGTACTTTACGACGAAGAAGTGAGGCATTAAACAAATCACAAAGAGGTTGAGAGAGTTCATGTGACGCTTCGCGTAGAATTCTATTACTGATACCATCAGGACCGGATGCTTTTTCAATATTTAATGATCTTAGGACATTTTTCTGTTTCAGTTTCAGATAGTGTAATTTCAGATATTGAAGTTGTTGTCATTGATGGACCAAGATCAGGTACATGCTTATTTGAATCTTCAATGAGTGTTTGTTTAATAAAATAGTCGTTAATAAATTTGCTTTGTTTTCATCTGTAAAGTTTAAGTTCGAGTGTTTCTGGATTTTGTAATGGGGGAATTGGGTGTTATTTGTTGTGATGATATAAATGATTTTAACGTTTTCCACCAGTCTTTAGACGATAATGATCCTCTTTTGAGTT